ATCGGAAATTAGGAAATATTTTTTCCAGCAATGATGCTTTATGGATCAGATAAAACATGCCATCTGATCATAGTCTGCACTGTTTGCTATTCAATCAGTACGTTTATTGAAATGTTCATTTTTTTCTTACTTTCTGAGCCCAACGTTTTATGCCCATAAATATGGAAATATCCCCGGATTTATTGCTTGAGTTATGGCTTTTTTTTACCTTATATTACGTTAGGAAGATCATACAAACTTGTACAAAATTGAATGACAAATTGTATTTAAAAGACTGGCCAAAGAAGATGGTGTATTTTCCGAAAATTTGTACACTTTATATACAAAACAAAACAAATCGCCGGTCAAGAAAAAGACCATGGCACACGGAAATCTCACGGATTAATTGCTTGGATAAGGGCCTTGGGCTTTTATTTTACGTAAGGAAGACCCTCTTAACTAGTACAATATTGAAAATGCAAAGAAATAAGACAAATGGTCGCTCTATATTTTATACTAAATTTTGTAGACTTTATATATATACTTGAAGAACTATTCGCCGGTCCAAAAGCGACCAATTTACGCGGGCCTCTTCAAATAATTTTCCTACCGTTACAGTGTGCTGTGAAAACTACCTTACATGTAGTATAAAAACGAATTTTTATACACTCTATATGCAGAAAAAACAAATTGACAGGACAAAAAACGACCCTGTCACGAGAAATTTCCCGAATTTATTGCTTGGGTTAGAGTTTTGGGTCTTACATTGTGTAAAGAAGACGCTCCAGGCTACAGACGTATTTAGAAACGAGGAATGTTCGTTAAGGTGAAGTCCTCTCAACAATGGAAAAGTTTAAGCTCTGCCGCAGTCAAGACCATGTTTCTTCATGTAACGGCAATATTGATAAGTTCAAAGTAGCGGATGGTTGATTAGTTCAAAGATGCTGAAAGATTTCCTCACAGTACAGCTTAAATAAATAATGTCTACACTAAAGAGCAGACGACAAATATGATGGCGACATTGCGTATAAGTTTAATTACCGGCTTATAACTGCTACAAAGGGTTCCTTTCAGTATTCGCCGGGAACAAGGCTATATTATGTTTCCGTCATTTGACATACTTGTCTATACTGAAGCTGTAAACCCTATAACAAGTAGAGAAACTGATAGCGAACAGCATGAATCCTGATCAGACTGCGCAGATGCGCAGGCTGGTCTGGATCTATGCTGGTCGCAGACCCACTATGTTGGTTTTGTCATGATGCGGCTCATTTAATCTTTTAACCCTACAACTTGACGTGACTATTTACGAAATATACTGCACGGGTAAGTTACGTAACCCCCCGACAATGTCGTAAGTTTGCTCGTTGAAATATCTGGAAAAATTCTATTCCCTTTCGCAATAGGTGAATGTTGGTTTGTATTGTTTAGTTTGCATTTTCTCTTTTTTCTTACTTTTCTCTAGGTAAAAAAGAAGAGATTAGCTTGTAAAATGCGAAACACTTTGGGTAATAAAGAAATATCCATCGCGTCTTTTTAATACTTGTTTATGTGACATTAATTTTCTGTTCTGGTATAGATATTCCCCATGGAGTGATGGTCGTGTCTTTGAAATGGAAGCACGAGATTGAAAGGTAATACTTTAATGTTAGAGTAGCTAAAGTATGATAAAGGCTTATTAAGTTGTATTATTTTTACATACAGTCAGATTAGCTCAATATTTAATGGCTATGTACAAAATCATATGACGTAAACAAGTTAGACTTCCTTGTAAAGCAATAACTCTTTTGGAAATTTTGTATGGTCCCAAAAGTAACATTTGAGAGTTTTCCAGTATCGTTAACTAAGATTCAGGAGTCTATTGTCCGTCTAGGTTTAACCTATCAGACCAATCCGATCTGGCCCCTCAACTCCCACACCTCCCTCACTCCCAGGTCAATTAAAGGTAGGGAGTAACTTGATGGAAACTACGTGGCAAATAGCTATGAAAACTATGGGGCAAAAGGCTATAATAACCTACGTGGAAAAAAGCTAAGTAAGCTAATGTGGTCAATAGCTTTGTGAACTAACGTGGCAAATTGCTATGGGAACTCAAGTAGCAAAAAAAAACTATGAGAACTAACGTGGCAAATTGATATGGGAACTTTTTTTAACTTTTAACTATTAAGTATCAGAACTGAATAGGATTTTACCTATGAAGAAAAGGCGAACTTGTTTTTAATAACGTGATAAGAGCATGCCTATTTGATGCTATATTATACAATGTCTAAACAACTGATTTACAGCATGGAAGATGGTAGATGTTTATGCTTTATAAATAAAGCGGCGATGAAATCATTGTCAAAAGAGGAGCAAAATTTCAACAAAGTATAGTATTTTGTTTTCAATTCAAAATAAAAAAAAATAACGGTGACCAGAAAAGCAGCGTTGAAATAAGTGTCAAAAAAGTAGCAAAACTTTAACAAAGTGTTATTTTGTTTTTCATTCCAAATACTAAATCACCATAACTTTACTAGTGACCAGAAAGCGAGAGATCGTTCAACCACATGGCCAATGGTTACCGTTTTGGAAATTTAACAGAACACAGGGAAGGTGAAAAAGAATGTAAGAAATGTTGGTGAATGGACCATACCTACTGGGGGTTCAAACCCCAGTATGTAGTCATCGGCCAGGCCCCTTATCTCTTTGGGAGCTATTTAGGGTTTTTTTTATTTCCCATATTTTAAATCCCTATCTTTAAAAAAGACGTTCCAAATTCAAATTGGTCGAAACCATTATTATTCAGCGGGTAAATTACATGAATACTAAGTTTCTCTCGGTAAAGGGTCTACTCAAGGGGATTGTTTATAGTTTGTATTGTGCTCAGACGCAATTGCAATAATTGGGCAATTTAATTACAATTTCATCAGAGTAGTTCCCTGTCAAGTTTACGCTGTTTACAAACTGATATTAAGTAAGGGGATATGGGGTAACTTAAGGGGGGAACATGGATATTCTGACAAAATAACTGGCTTTTAATCGGTGGTACAAAGCGAAATTTTGCGAAAGCGGTGACCCCGTTTGCCGCTGGGTCCTTGAGCAAGACTGGTAGGTTCCAAAAACGGATTCGAAAGTGTGTACATGTATAAGCTAATGGCTGCCTACACAATTGAATTAAAATAAATTCTGTATAAACTAAGCGAAATTTTATACAGGGAGGGGGTGTCATCATTTTACTGAATATTCTTCCTTATAAAAAAATCTAATAACACGCACTGTGGTAAATAGGTTAATTCCTTAAATAGACATTTTTGTGTTGTTGCATAAACGCAAAAAGAGAGAGGAATATTGTATTTCAAAGTAATCTTAAGACTTTGCTTACCTGGCATTATTTACCGGTAATTGCCTGGGAGTTTTGTTTCGAAGATGTTTAATCATTATAATACTTTATAGATTGTTATTTTGCAAATGCCTACAGTATGATGTTACAACCAGTATCGGTGTACTTGCAGGGAATGCTTATGGCTGATACTAGTAGGTTTTTGTTTGCCTTTTATCTCCATGACGTAAATAATAAATTAAGAAAAAATAATGTAAAACTACCATGTTTCAATCATCCAAAAAGGCTACGATAAAAACAGTAAAACCATCTCAGATTTCGGAATATTCTCAGCCCATGATAGGGGACGCCCTCACCGAACTCATCTCTACAGAAGCAAGCGATGCGAGCTGCCGCCCGTATGTAAAAACAACACGTGACGTGCCTGTTCCGAGTGCATGTGAAAACTATTCACGTTTTTAAGGGATAGTTCCTGAAAATTGGACCTTATCATAAAGCAAACTCATCTCAGTGATTACCTCCTTTGAAAGAGTGTAATATCTGTACTGATAAGGGGAGATCACTGCGTACCAGATTCATGATTGATAAAAAAAATGCTTCAATCTTTCTTCTTAGAAAAGTGAAGCTTATTATGGGGAAAGTAGCAGATTCGTAATTAGAAATGAGCTTTGTTGAAAACTGTCAAGTAATTTGTGATATGTGAATCCATTTTCTTCCTACAAAACTAGTGTATCCCCGACAGTACAGTATCTGTCGACGTAAATAATGACAATATCCCCAACATTATTTCTAACAGTACCTCCAACGGTATCAATTTAATTACAGGACAGGACGTATAGTTCTATATATACAAACTTTTTTGAAATTGTTCAAGCACTTGTCCTTAATCAAAGGCAAAGCAATTTAAAGAGAAATAGTGGGTGGCTTAGTAAATATATAAAAGGACAAAATAATTACCTCTTTGTAATTAAAGTTATTGAAATACAAGCATGTTTGTTGGGCATGGTCTCTTGTGACTCCTACAAAAACCAAACCTTAATTTAAAAGAGTAATTAACGGACGTCAGATTCATCCGACTCTTGTTTTAAAAGTCGCTTTCACAAACAAAGGAAAATCATTAATTAGGAATGTTGATTTAGATATTCATATAATTATTGTAAGCAGAGGACATTAATAATGCTATGTAAACTTACAGTTCAAATTTAATGAAAATTGTCAACATTTAAGATATCAAAATAATTACATTATAGAGTTACTGAACAACTGACATGGCCACTAACAAGCATTTTGACCTACAGTATTTTATGACTACAAATACAAGTTTGACATTGACAGTTTTAGGACTAAGTTATGTGAACTGTTCAAATTAATATTAAAGGGACTCCACTGAGTTTTTTTTTACATTACTGGCTGTAAATATTTTTTGGATTAATATTCCATTTGTTGTACTTGTATGAAAATTTTTTAATCATTTGCCCACTCAATTCATCCAGAATGATTATTTTAATTGTGGAAAATGATCCAAAATTGAAAAGCGTTGCAATACTTTGAATGAAAAGCTGGCTAAGTATCAATTTATTTCTGAGTATATTTCTCAATTAACTTTTGCATATTCTTTCTGTTTAAGTTTCCCAGCTGATCTATGTAAGAAATTTAAATTTTATGTATTTAGGCTTTTGGACCACACTGGAGTTTCTTTAATGTTAATAAGCTGCAAAATCAATTAAAAGGAAGAAAAATGCTGTACTATTTTTAATTCATTAATAAACTGATACATTAATAACCTTTACAAAACTGCCGTAAAATCATTGATATAACATATAATGTCATATTTTAAAGTTTCACTTGCAATAAAACACAAGTATTTAACATTAGGCTGTAGCACAGTTGCAGCATATGAAGAGTTTATTCTCTTCTATCACAGAATGTTTCCTCTTCACCTCTCTCAATTTCTTAAAAGTCATTCCCTAACACTGTGTCAGCCTTTTTATCCCCTTCAAAATGGCTGACATCTTCTACCTGTCATGTGATATATCACATGACCTGTCACATGACACTTTGCATAGGAGTTCCTCTGTCTTCATCTACATGTATGCTTACTATATGATGACCAGGGATCATTGCTAGACCTAGAATTCTGGGCTCTTCTTTCTTCTCCACTTGATCTGTAAAAGGCATGATAAAGGTTATTATTTTGTTCTTTCAGTGCTAACTGCCATACTGCAAAATCATTATCATTTGTAGTTGATATATTTACCTGGTTTTCATGGATAGGTCAATCTAAAGAAAATTACAACTGACAAAAAAGTAAAAACAAGCAAATTCGTAGAATTTATATCCCCCGCCGAGTACTGGTTATTATTAACACAACAACTGAAGACATAAGGCTTTATTTATACATTAATCATGGCATAAACAGTAATATTCTTTGAACTTGATAAATATTCAGGGCAATAACAGGGCCATAACTTTGTGTTAAATAGTAAAATCTGGAAATGCCAATGAGATGTATGCATACTACATAACTAATCAAGGGCCATAAATCAGTAATCTGAGTTATAAGTATCTGACTGGAACAAGGCGACTATATGCATATCTCCTCTTAGTATCCCATAAAGTTTCATTGAATTCCAGCCAGTAGTAGCAGAGAAGTAGCGAGGAAACAAATATTTTTCTATATGGATACTGCATAACTAATCAAGGGCCATAACTCTGAGTTAAAGTGTCTGACCGGAACAAGCCGACGATATGCGCATCTCCTCTTGGTATTGAAGGTTCCCATAAAGTTTTGTTGAATTCCAGCCAGTAGTTGCAGAGAAGTAGTGCAGAAACGATTTTTACTCTATATGCATACTACATAACTAATCAAGGGCCATAACTCTGAGTTAAAGTGTCTGACCGGAACAAGCCGACGATATGCGCATCTCCTCTTCATATTGATGATTCCCATAAAGTTTCGTTGAATTCCAGCCAGTAGTTGCAGAGAACTACACCGGAAACGATTTTTACTCCATATGCATATTGCATAACTAATCAAGGGCCATAACTCTGAGTTAAAGTGTCTGACCGGAACAAGCTGACGATATGCGCATCTCCTCTTGGTATTGAAGGTTCCCATAAAGTTTTGTTGAATTCCAGCCAGTAGTTGCAGAGAAGTAGTGCAGAAACGATTTTTACTCTATATGCATACTACATAACTAATCAAGGGCCATAACTCTGAGTTAAAGTGTCTGACCGGAACAAGCCGACGATATGCGCATCTCCTCTTCATATTGATGATTCCCATAAAGTTTCGTTGAATTCCAGCCAGTAGTTGCAGAGAACTACACCGGAAACGATTTTTACTCCATATGCATATTGCATAACTAATCAAGGGCCATAACTCTGAGTTAAAGTGTCTGACCGGAACAAGCTGACGATATGCGCATCTCCTCTTGATATTGATTATTCCCATAAAGTTTCGTTGAATTCCAGCCAGTAGTTGCAGAGAACTACTCCGGAAACGAAATTCGGACGGACGGACGGTTAGATGCGCATCTCCTCTTGATATTGATGATTCCCAGAAAGTTTCGTTGAATTCCAGCCAGTAGTTGCAGAGAACTACTCCGGAAACGAAATTCGGACGGACGGAAGGACAACGCCAAAACTATATCCCCCTCCCGATTCCATCGGCGGGGGATAATAAAACTGAATTTGCTTATAATCAATATATCCAAACTAGTTCATGTACATGTATATTGGACCGTTCTTTGGTTAAACCAGGGTATTTCAAACACAAATCTATTTGAAAGATCCTGGTTAAAGAATGTAGACTAGTTACCTGGAGGTTTTAAATATTCTTCACATGAGCCTAAAATCACGTTTCTCTCACTGTCTGTGCACAAAAATATACCTGAAATTATAAATGTTAATGTAATTTCATTTTAAATTTATCAATACAAAACACAAGTAAAACGTTTACAGACATAATGGCAGATAGCATTGTATATTGAGCAGAATGCTTTCATTACGGGTCTCACTAATAATGGCTTTATTTAAAACTCTTATAGCCTTAATTAAAAAGAATCATACTAAAGTATAAAGCTTTATTTCTCTAATATGTAACTCTTTATCTCTCCTAAACTTGTAAACCTAAATCTCTCCTAAATGTGTAAAGCTACATGTTAATCTTTCTTAAATGTGTAAACCTAAATCTCTCCTAAATGTGTACCTAAATTCATCCGAAACTTGTTAACCTAAATCTTTCCAAAATGTGTACACCTGAATCTCTCCTACATGTGTAAACATAAATTTCTCCTAAATGTGTAAACCTCAATCCCTCCTAAATGTGGAAACTTAAATGTGTACCTAAACCTAAATCTCTATTAAGAATCCAAGATTTAGGGCAAACATTAAACATGCACAATACAAAGCCTTTTATGAAATAACACAAAAGTAGTAGGGCAATATTTTTTTCCTCAAATTAACATCAATATTACGAGGTCTATGATATTTTTATATTATATTTAAAATTTGGGGAAAAGGGTGATCCCTCAGAAGCATTAATGACTAATTAATCACAAAAAATAAATGAAAATTGCAGACTCGGTTTGACAGAGTATGCACATGAGGGATAATGAAAAAATGCAACATCTCTCATGCCCCCTAGCTAAACCCTTCAAAATAACAATTAACAGTTCAACATACACAGCTGGGTAAGCGCATTACATAAACTTAAAAGAGGTAAAGAATAAAATCAAAACATAAAGCACTAAATAAGCCAATCAGATATACCTATCAAAGTTCTACCATCTGTCATCTGTACTTTCATACTTTTATTCAACCAAGATCGTAACAACTTCTTGCCTTGACATTCCTCCTCTGTTTCCTGCAAACAACGTCAAATAAAATTAGAGTATTTAATCCAAAACTTACTATGGACAATAATAAACCCTTTTCCAGCTATCTGTGTTCATAAAACACCAGGACATTTTCCATATTGTAACAGTCTGACCTGCCCATAACTGACCAGGGTTTTTTTTCTTCTCTATTTTGGGAATAGTGCCAATACCAGACTGATTGGATATAAATGCGTTATTTTGACTTAAATTGGGATTTTTTTAAAACATTTTTTCAGCTAGAAATAAGATTAGTCATCATGAATATAGATAGCTAACAGCTTCAACTGTCCAGGGAGAACCATTGAGTGGTGATTTATATGAATATGTTGGATTTAAATGATTTCAGAGAAATCACTTGGCCTTGTGGTTATTTTGAACAGCCAGTACCGTTTTAGGGTAGTAGTTATATAAAGAAAAAAAAACACTGTATATCAATACCAAGTCTGCACCTAGAAAAGATTCTCATGTTTCTCATGTTTCTAAGCCTATATTGATAAAAGCTTATAAATGCAATATAATATATATATTGGTGCTACAGTTATGAACATATGAAGTATGAAGTTGATTCCTTAATAAATAAATAACAGTAAAAAATAATACTTTTTAAGGAAAATTCTAAGTTCAAGGGAAGATAAATCTGAAAATATTGGTGCTAGAGTTATGAACCTTGTCACATAAAATGTGGCTGATTATAAGGAACATATATTTGAAGTTTGAAGTTGATACCTTAAGAAATGACAGTTATAGTGAAAAATATTTTACTGCACCAAAACTTTAATCTGAAATCTGGATGTGGATGCCGCGGTGAGTAGGTCAGCTCTCCATATACTTTGAATAGTCAAGCTAAAAAGTTAAAAACATAATGTAAATTGTCCATTCAATGTTTAACAATTGTCACACAGTAAAAGGTTTACATTTGATAAGCATTTGCACACATATTCAAAATGTCATGCTGGGTCCAAATTGTTAGCTATCAGGGCCAAAACACAATTTTTGGGGAAGGGGCCTCGGCCTTTTTCTCAGGGAAAATATGCGTGATTTTGGCATTACTTTGGGAAAAGGGGTCTCAAATTTAACACAAACTTTTAACAAGTTCTTCAAAATAGAAAAGCAAAAAGCACTGGGAAATACTGATAAGGCAGTAAAAGACCTTAATTCAACACTATCATTTAATATTGTTCTAAATTCTATGGGAAATTTCAAAAGACTGGGGGATTTTGAGGACCAAACTGGGGAAAAAAAGAGGCTAGTTTGGTTGGGATAGCAGCCTATATTCCGCCTCTACAAAGAAGGGTTTTTTAGCCCTGGCTATACTACCGTTTTTTTATGTGTAAAAAAACAATTACGAGAATAAAGTTATTAAAACTTTTAATTTTCTTCAAAATATGCCATAATTTTTATTTTGTATAAAAGTAATGTGACAAACACTTCCATACAAAAGAAATTTCTTATGTAAGTATTATTTGAAATATCTGGACATTCCCAGTACAAAGTACCTCACGGTATAAAGTACATAGAGGCTGTAGTCCAATTAATTAGACGTTACAGGCTTGTTATAGTTTCATGTCGGTCAAGCCTTTGCCCAGAAGCAAAAATATCTCAAAGCGACGTCATATTTATAGGACTAATAGAGGCTGAGGATATATCAGAATCTAGCTTTTGCATATCAATATATTTTGACTAAAATGACAGCTCACAAACAGTATACTAAACTGTTTCAGAGAAACAGTGCTAAGTCCTCTTGAAAGTACATCAGGGGAGATAAATCTAGATTAAATCTGACGAAAACTTGCATGAAACGTAAAAAATATAGAGCTGTCATTGATTCAGTGCAAAGCATATCAACGATATATCGATATCAAGTAACTAAAATCAACGATACACCGATATATCGATAATATCCTATACTCATTTGTCTGTCATTCATTTTCATACCTGTTTCAATGATTTCAGTCAAAAACATGTTCTGTACAGTGTCTTGTCCACTGCATGATTTTTTCTAGACAATATTTTTTGTCACCATTGCTATGAAATAATTCCACTATATAACAAAAGCATCACATTTGATATAAATAATTGTTTCTGCATATATTTTGGGTGAATTGTATAATTTCTAGACATTTAATTTATAAGTCAAAAGTATCGATTTTTTAAAATGTGTATCGATTATTGATCGACAAAAAAATATCAACGATACATCGATATTGTCGATATCGATGACAGCTCTAAAAAAATATTAATTAATCAGCTGCAGATCAATTGATATTTAAGTTATCTAAAGAAAAGTGTGTTAAGACAAGTTTTCATATGATTCAAATGCAAATTTACTTTACCATCTGTAAGAAAAGCGGAAATAATGAAAAATAAAAATTACCGAGTGAGCTATGTCTTCCATTTTGAATTATGATTAACGAAATATTTTTTAAACGAAATATTTCCATAATATATATCATTTCAGCTACCTTTTAAAATAAGAAATGCAATTTAATACCCGATCTATTTCATTATTTCTATTATTTATAAAATGATTGAAATAGAGCAGTGGATTTGAAATGTAAAATAATATTAATTTAATTAATTCGTTTAAATTGTTTATCAAGCTTCCACTAACCCTGACTTTTGTTGTTTACATTGACAACCAAGAAAAAAGTCAGTAAGGTTCAAATCGTGATAATGACGCGTCCAAAATATTTCACACCCAATGAAGTTGCGATACACAATACAGTAGATGATTTGTGGGTGTCTTTTCTTGGAAAAGTTTACAATCTCACCCCTCTCTGTGAAAAATACCAAGGTTTGTCATTTTCAGTTTGTTTAGCACTAGCAGTTTACTGGTTTAGTAAAATAATATAATAAAAAACATTAGATCAATTTACATGTTTAAAGTGCTCAACATAATGCATTTTATTAATGATTCTACATATCACAGGGTGAGAAAATTGTGCAACCTGACCGGGACTCTAACCCAAATGGTCTAACCCTTACACATCCTCTCCACTTCGAATAGTGAACAGTTCTCAAAAATTAACTGTGATACACTCACCTATTATAATAAAATATAACCCTGTACGTTAATGCCCCAGAATGGGTTATGTACAGTACTGGAAGAAGAAGAAATACATCCTCAAGTTTTCCTGAGCAGTTAATTTGGTGTGATCGGTTTGACCCAATTTTTACAGACTTAAATTATTCATACTGTCAAAAATCACATTCAAAAGTATCTTGATGTCTCTTTGACAAGTCTTACAACTGAGCAATATGTCAATAAAGCTAAAGCTATATGCAGTCACACATACTGGGCAGCAAATGTCACAAGGGCAGCAAATGTCACAGAGTGACCTGAGGACTTGAGCACAAAACCTGACAGAATAGTCTGTTCTGCAGCTTAAATGTGGTAAAAAAATCATGAAATATGGGTGCTGAAAATGCACAAAATTAATGATTACAATCAACAATTATTTTACTGCATGATGAGTAAAATGCAACAATTTTTCATCCAAAATCTGTCAGTTTTGTATTTCTTTATCTTTATGTTGCAGGTGATGTTCTGCTGAAACCCATTGTACAAGCAGCTGGGAAAGACATTTCACACTGGTTTGATAGAAAAACCAAAGATGTAAGTAAAATATAATAGGGCTGGGGCGAGTATCCGAGTACTCAGATAATCACGAATCAAAGTGAAAAATCGAGTTTGAATATTCGTAAGCCCAGAGATCATGGATCGTGATCTAATTTTTTTATATACATTCACTGTTTCTCACACTCTTAAAATCGAGAAAAATACGATTTGAGAATATAAATTATATGAAGTTTACCTTAATACAATTAGCCAGTTAAAGACCATGTACCATGATGTTGAGCTCAGAGGAAGTAATTGGTTTCAAAAAACAAAACAAAAATACTCATCCAAAGAATAAAAACATAAACCTTAGGTTTATTATTATATTTTATATGTTTAATGTTTAGTATTGTTGTTGTTTTTTTTTAAATAATCATGTTTTTATAACTAATGTACGTGTTTTTATGGGTGTCTTGATAACAAAAGATTAGTGGTTCAATTTGTGATCTGTTAAAAATCAGTCCAAATGATATTGAATTATATATATAAGCAATGTTTATGCCATTTGTTTTTTTGTAAATTGTAAGTAAATTAATTAATTTATGATGTGCTTTACAAGTTTTTTTTTTAATTACTTAAGTTTTTTTAAATCAGGTTATTATGTGTTTCATGGCAAGAATTTACATCATTTTTGTATAACATTTGCAATGAATATGCAACATTAAAATGTTACATTTTGTAAGTAAAGAGTTTAAAGGGAGTAAAGACATAACTGGTCAAACTATATCATTTACATGTTACATTAAAGTGGCATGGCTCCAGCTTAATGCTAATTTTCATGAAAATTTTGAAAATGTATTTCAAAGTAAAAAACATTGTCACAGTATTGTGATTTTTTAGTGAAAAGAGAAAGCAATTTACATCTGACTTACAATTTACAATCTATGTTAATTATAAATAAAAATGTCAAAATTATGCAAATTTTGAATCTATTTACTTTTCTAAAAATCTTTTTACATTTTTCTCAAGTTTGATTTTCTTGAAACATTTTGGCAAAATTATTGAGGTGTGTCGCCAGACTTTAAATGTAAAAAACTGTACTAGAATGTTTTATGCATATCCTTGTGGGTTTTTTTTTTTGGGGGGGGGGGGGGATTATTTTTTTTTATTGTTTGTAAAAGTAAATGCCTTTGTTAAATTTTAACTCACTATAAATATAGTGAAAAGAATAAATTTCCTTAAACAATAAAATATCTACATGCTGATTTGAGTTAAAGGCTTTAAGAGCCAAATCTGAATGTCTTTATTTTGCCGTTCTGCTTTTGTGAAAATTTACAAACAATATTCTTTCAATTAACATAATTTGATATAATTCTCAGAGCACTATGTAACAAAAGAAAAAAATTCTGCTGAAAAATATATACAGTTCAGTATGACTTTGTACCCTTTAACAAAGTATATTAAGTTGAATTATATGAATCACATAATTAAATGATTGGTTAGTCAAAATAACATCTTAATGCCATTTCCTTTGTTTTTTTATTTCTCAGATTCGTACAAATGTAGATCCACAAACAGGCTGTGTGATACCATATGCTCCCAATGGAAGATTTGTACATATTCCACCACCATACCCTGACTCCTCCTGGGCCAATGATTTTGGCCGACCTTGGTGGAAAGATGACAGTTACCTTGTCGGCATTCTGTCAAAGAAAACAAGAAATATCAAAATTATTAACACATTGACATCACAGGAACAAGTGATCGAGGTTTGTGTCTGTTTCATCACAAAAATTTATATCATTTTTGTATAAGTTTTTCAAGTCTTGATGCTTCTTGTTGAATTTTTTTTTTTATAATATTTATCAAAATTAATGAGTTTTAACTTATGCAAATTATTATAAATGTTTCAGAAAAGAATGAGCTTTTTTTTTTCATAATTTTTCCAACATCTTTTCACAGAAATAATTTGAATTACATAAATTATAGTTGTAACGTCCTTTTTATGCTTTTTTGTAAACATTTCATCTTTTAAGAAATTGTTTGATTAAAACACATTTTTCATCTAACTAATTTTTTTGGAGTATTTAATTTTACATTGTTTTATAGATTTATTCCCAATTAAATACCAAAATCTTACATTTAAATTTGAAAACTTGCAGGTTTGTTCAGAAGAAATAATGACAGAAATTTTGGAGCGCTACTTGAAGTACAACGCCCATGCCGCTAGCTATACCTGGAAATACGACGGCAGAAATCTGGACATGAACCAAACACTTGAGGAAAATAATATTCAAGATGACGACGAAGACTTTTACAAATTAAGCATGAATGATGACACTTTCTTACAATCAGTGCAACTCTACTATAACGATGATCTCACCGAAGCCTAAACATTTTTGCATTTATGACAAAAAAAACAACAATAAAAAAAACAAAAATGCTTTTAGTTGTTCAAAATTGACAGTGGCTTTAGTTCATGGTGAATTAACTTCTATTTTTCCTCAATCAAGACATGGAATTTATTATAAAAATTTTAAATAAATCAATTTTTGTTTATAGGAAGGGGAGAAAAAGGTTTTTAAAAAGTTTATATTTTTCTATAATATCATCAAACACTTGTGAAATATTTCTGTTAAAATGTAAATGTATAGATATAAATAATACTTGTTATATAACATAAACTGTTTGTTTTAAATTCCATTGACATTACAATGTATTCATACCGGTTATGTATTTCTAGGTCAATGTATTGAAATTCAATTATTTTGTTTCATAATAAGTAAGGTCAATGTTAGAAGGTCCTTTTTGTATCATTAAAATTAATATAATTTTATAAAAAAAAATATTTTAGGCTATGCAGACCTGTTTAAAGTTTATACAGAATTATTTCTTTTTTCATTACCAGCTATAAGCTAACTTGTAATAGACACACTCAAGTATGTTCCCCGAACCAACTACATGTAGTACTTAAGCAATGAGTTAAAGTTTCTTGCCCAAAGAAACAACAGTTAATGTTTGCTCTGGACAGGGTTTGAACCCACACCGCCAGCAATCTTTGAGACTCCTAATCTGATGCTTTAATCACTTTGCCGGTAAATTGTTCAAGTATGTCCGTGATGTTATCTTGATAAAATCGCAGATTCTTTCATCATAAATCTTAAGGCTACATACACATGACATATGGGCATTCAGAAGTTGAGGAAAATATTTAAACCTTTGTACTGAAGTTATATATGTATAATGCACTTGTCTGTTTTGTGTTATATATTTAATATAAAATACTGCCAAGATTATTGGTGTATACAATTTTTTCCCCCGATTTTCCCCGTAATCTGAGGTGCCCGGTAAAACAAATGTTTTGATGTAACAATTTTATTTTGTAAACAGGTGTTCGTATCTCATAATTTAATCTTATTATATCTAATAATACTATTTAATTAGAAGAAAATGTCATTGTGAAAAAAAACAAAAACAACACGTAAATGTCATCTTTATAAGTATTTTCTTTTAATTTGTAATCGGAGCTTCGTACATAATAAAGTATCAAATCTCCTGTAAAAGTTCAAAGAATCTGTAGAAAGAGTTAATGGAAAAAAAACATTGCTTTGATTTACTCTCAAGGGGAAAGTTTGGATTTAGAGGGAAAGATTCTTTGTCAAAAAACCATAAATCCCGCCTCCCTTCTTTCTGTTAACAAATAGAAAAACAAGTACTAAAGATGTAAATTCTGGCCTTGGTTTCTGTTAAAAGGCTTATCCAATACTGTATAAATTATCTGGTAAAGAGTAATGAACTTATTGTCACGGAAGTGAAGTATATCTCAATTATTTACACTTGTTGTATTATAATACTGCATGTTTGTAACAATGATTCTCATTGGACAACTGTGATGTTCATGTAATAGATGCTAATAACAAAGAATGTAACGATTAAAATGCTCAAAAGAGGCAACTTAGGAGTGACTGAACCTTTTATAGGCATTTATCTTTTATAAGCATCTAACCTTCTCATTAACCTTTTTTCATAGGCACACATAGTGTTTATCCAAATAGACATAAGGTTTAAATGAATGGTTAAATAAATGTAACCAAGGACAGTTTATTTGACTGTAAGAATTGTTCAAATACTGTATAAAGTCACAAAAATTTTGCGAATGTCAAAAAGTGAACTTTTTGCGTGCAGAAATATTTGCAAAAATATGATTTATTAAATTTAAAGAAAAAAAGGAATTATTTCATAAATAATTAAATTTAAAGAAAAAAGGGAATTATTATTTTATAAATAGACATCATTACATATACGTCACAATTATCCAATGAAATGCCATGTTACAATATGATCATTGTATATTAGTGAATGCTTGCAAAATAATTTTCAATCAGTACACAAACTGCCAGAAAAGGGTGTCTTTATATAAACACTGTTAAAAATCAGTGTTAAAACCCATAAATATATATGATTTTACAAAATGCATGGAAAAAAAACAACACTGCTCTGTTCAGTTTTTAACATTTTTATTGAATTTATTGTACATTGGACTTGCCTGGAAAATAAACATTTTCTAAATAAACCACTGTAATGAAAAGTTTCAGAAATAACATCAAATATGTGAGGAGTAATTCATTTAAATGCAGACATATAACTTTTCAAGGTATTGGGTTTTTCTATATATAATTCAAACATTAAACTGCAAAATGTACAAGTAAAACGGAGTGCCTTTTTTGAGATATTTTGTAAATGTTTTCAAAATTCGGAATTGTTTCATGTACAGGTCAATAAGTAAGCAAATACTAAATAACAAATGCAATAGCGCCACAAAAAAAAGAACAAAATGTTAGACTGCAAGATCACAAATGTAAGTAGTTAAATGATGTATATTTGGCAATAAAATGGTGATCAAATGATTGCATGTTAGCCTAATGAATGCATGTTTCTAAACACCCATCTATGTCATTTTACAAAACAGGCTCCAGAAAAACAGGTGTTGTACATTACAATTTAAAGGCCATTGTATGAGATAGTTAACCAGTATGTGATAGTTAACCAGTATGAAAAAGTTAAAAGTATGAAAAAGATAACCAGTATGAAAAAGATAACCAGTATGAGATAGTTAACCAGTATATGATAGTTAACCAGTATGAGATAGTTAACCAGTAGAAGACAAGGTTAAAGATATGGCTGTCTCAAACCTAGGCATCAAAATATCACTGGGACAATGCTAAACAAAATGATGAAAAATGCCATTTAAAACATGTGGAAATATGTCAATAATGAAAATATAAATGGATAAAGAAGAATTTATGTGATAGTCTAGGGTTGGACGTATTTGAAATTAAAAATTAATTCATTTTTATATAGTGCAGCCTACTAAAATACTGACTTCAGTGAGTGAGATAAAAGCCATATCTTTCACTGTACATCATTCAATGTGATATCCCTTTTTTTTTATCTCACTAAGCATTAACTATAATAAAAACAAACTTTTCCCCCATGTCTTTCATATAATCATGATAATTTTCAGGAATTTGAATGAAATTTAAATCTGGCAATAAATCAACATCAAATGAGAAAAAAAAAATCATTTTTAGCCAAATATTTTTTGTTCACAAGGTACCATTATCCATAAAGTAAAGATATACCAAAGGGTCAACAGGAAACTTGTCAATATGGAGGTTTACTTTTCTTTATTCACCCACCCATAGACTAGAATTCCATTGAACCATGAAAATATGCATATTTATTGTTTCGATACACATGTAGTAGTTCAACTATATTACACATAACTGATCACACTTGTACAGCACAATATGCCAGCATAAAAATAATCAATACTGTAGCACAGAATTTTACTGCCAGAATATACAACAGTGTTCACCAGCTTATGCAAACAAAAAACAAGGTACAATGTAATTGAGTCCTCATCATTTTACCCTGCTAAATAGTGTTTAAAATTTTTTAATCATAGTTACAAGATACTGAGAACAATATTGCCTCAATATTTTCACAATTCATTTAATGTTCAAATACATAGAAACATGTGTTTCTTATTAATGCTATTTCATTACACATATTCAAATACACATGTACACATGTGTCAATGTTTAATGTAAACCAGAAAACCTCAATAGACGTTCTCCGGAACTTGGCAAATGTGGGTTTTTCCAACTAATCCATCTGTACAAAATTTATAAACTTTTACTGTTAAAGCTTCAAAGTGCACTACCCGTCACAATAGATTAGTTAACCTGTTTTCCTTATTTTCGAAGCTGTAACTGTTTGTTTTTACCTATGGATTAGCGGGGAAAAATCCAAATATTCTTTATTCCAGAGTTAGTCTATTTCAATATTCCCATCAAATTCAACCTATTATATTATGAAACTAGATCTGTATTAGCTTTTGGCATCATTTTTCCAAAATATAAAGCTGGCAAAATCCAATACACAAATATGGCCGGGTAAGGGGTTAAATCTACAAAAACTTGGATGTATTTCAGGTGTTTTTATCAAACCTTTCCATATGGCATCACAGATAGAACAGTTATGGATTTAATTAGCATTTACACAATACTGTCTCTTAAACCGCTATTTTGGGAAGCTTCAAAATTTATTAGAATGGGAAATCTAGGACAGCCAAATTAAGTATACCATATTGACACACAGGTTAATAAGTTAACCTTTTACATGTATAAACTGCATGGACAGCATCCTCATGTGTACCGTTATTCCATAATAACAGATTAACATATAATGCAGACTTGAATTTCCTTCAACACTTGCCTATTAAGGCCTCTATGATAAAAAAGAAAATTACCCCATAATAAATTCACACATGATGATGGCTTGAGTTTCTAAGTCACTTGCCCATTGTGGCTTTCATGATTAAAGAAACTTTTAATAAGGAAAGAAGAGAGAGAGAGGTAACATTTTGTAGGTCTTTCAGTTCTAAACGGTGATACCTTGTAAGTCTTACTATGTCTACATGATGTAGAAATTACATAATGATATGATTTGTTTTTCTTCAGAATTTCAAGAAATGAACTGTCCATGTCAGTACCTCACAAATCTGAGCTATTCATTTCTTACAAATAATGGAAAGAGCATCGAAATACGAGGCTATCTGATTTGTACGATGCGCTGTAACTCCAGTTAACGCAATGTGCATGTATGTGCATATGATTTAATTCTGACACATTTTCAATAGAGAGGCCCCCAAACTATGATACAATGTCAATTGATCCAATATTTGAATGTTTACTTTACCAAAACATCTTAACTTACATAGCAGTTGTCTAGCAACACATTTTATATTACATTGTACATAAATTATATTTTTACAATTAAATTGAAAAACTTTTACACACGAAAAAAAAAGAAAAGAAAATGTATTAATTTCACAACAGTCAATATCACATATATACATTTACAAGAAATAACAAAATCTGATACAATACATAAGTCTCAAAATTCATATCGTAATTCTACAAAATTTAATAGAACCAAGTTCTATCAATACAAAATTTTATCAACTATTTTCATCTTTGCTTTTTTAAGAATTATGTTTGGAAAATTAAGATTTATAAAAGAGCGAAAAATATGGTTTGCTGGTTAAACCAGGAAAATGATATTTTTATCACAAAACCCTACATTTGATGTCATTATTTTGACGATACATCAATATCAGATACAAAATATTGTCGTTTCACTAATAAATTGATAAATACTGTATATAATTCACTTTCATACAGGTTTAAATAAATTTAATAAAAAACATGTTTTGTTCAAACAAATATGCTGTGTGTGTCCTGTATAAAAATGTCCTTTGACCATTTTTAGTCATTACTGCTATGAAATATGTCCATTATGTAACAACAGCTTGGTGTTAGACATGGCCACCTGCTTTTGTATATGTTTTTGGGTTATTTTTCCTAATTTATAGATATTTAAATCATTAATCAAAATTATCGATTTAATAAAATGTGTATCGATTATTGATCTACAAAAAAAAACAACAATACATCAATATTGTCTCTATCATTGACAGCTCTAATGTTTATAACACATTTCTATGACACACAGTAGTATAAAAGTGTTCAAAGAGTATTTCTACAAACTGTTTATTATTTGTTTCTATGAGAAACAAATATGTATTTATAAGCTCTGTTCATCTGACTTTCTAGAAGAACTTTGTTAAGATACGCATTTGTGCTATTTCATTTTTATTTTCTTAAGTTCATAATTTAGCTAAAGCCTTTTTCCAAGGAATTCAGAATAAAAATTGGAATAAGTAAATTATCAATTAAAATTTCATATAAAGTCTATAAATTGACCTTCAGTTCATCAATATTTAACAAGATTTAGATGTCTTTATCAACCTTATGCTTGTAAGTATATCATTTCTTGATTGATACACTAATACTGAGTAGATTTATATAATAAAATTGACAGAAATTTCATAACATTTTCGTATCATAACATTTATCTTATTCTACCAGAACAGGCAGTGATAATTTGCTGGAACCAGTAGTGATTAACCTTTGCCACCAGAATAAAGCCAGGCCAGCCTGTAAACCTGGTCAGACTGACCAGGTTCTATACCGGTAGCTAAATTTTTATGTATTTTGGTATTCAAATCCCTTAAAACTTGCATGAACTGTTTCAAAATTCAAAGCAGGGCATATCCATGACAATTATTGAGAAGGTTAAAGGTTGAAACAAATCACTTTGATTGTATATTTTAAATTTAACTTTGAAATGGACTATGACACAAACATAGACTGTGTCTTCAATTTTGACAACAAGACATAGACTGAGTCTCAGCCTTTTGAGATAACATGACTGTGACTCTAGTTTTATTTTTAGACTTTGAATTGTGACACAATTTTGGTAAAAAAAATTATAAACAAGAGCTATCATACAGACAGTTCACTCTACTGCACTCAATGTTTGATTGAAAAAGTGTCATACAGGAAATTTTCCGAGATATAAAAGGTGAATTGATGAATATAATGTGAAGTTGAACAAGAGAGGTGTTTAATTATTTATAAAACACCAATTATGCATATGGTGTAGATAAACTGACCTTATCAAAATGCACAGTTGATTATAGATTTGCTTATATAAGATCATACAGTGAAGGCGGCTGATAAGCTTTTCTGGCTGACTTGGAATAAGTAAAGCAGTCAATTCTCACTCTACAATTATTGGTCTTAGTAAGTGACCTATTCCAAAACACATGTGTTCAGTTTAAGTCAATATCTTTACTGGGTAAGCTGTTCAAAAATGAAATGCAAAATCATTATCAAGTGGTATCCTACTGCAAAAAAGGAGATAGCTATCCTTATTATTTAAATAGTTGAACTGAAAAATAGACTGTGTCTTGGCTTAACGGCTATAAACTGTAGTTCTCAGTCTGAGATAGAAAAATGCAATAATACATTGTAATATGTTAAATTGTATATTAGGAAACAAGACATAACACAGTCTTTTACAATATGTTAGAAGTTACAAATTGACTAATTCTTTGAATTTCTTGAAAAGCAGACTGTGACACAGTTTTCAATTGAATTAGACTGTGTACAACATTCTGTGACTAGATATTTGACTGGTTCATTTTGACTGATCCTTTTCTTTGATCCAATTTGCAATCTTCTGTTTTATATCATCTCCTGAAAATTAAAGACACAATTTTGTTATTTTTTTGCATTAATTTTAAAGCAGCATGCCTCCAGATTCATGCTAATTTTCATGAAAATTTAGAAAATGAATTTAATAGTAAACTTTATTTAAACAGCAATTTCAATCCACATAAATTACTAAAATGAGGTCGGAATATACAAACATGGCCCTTATTGCTTTGTTATTAAAGTTTAATTTTCTTGAAATATTTTTGCATATCTGGAAGAATGCAGTTTTAATTCTTTCCATATTTCTTTTAAGACTGTAAAGAATACTTCCAGGGTATGCCTATAAACAAGTATATTTAACAAGAATAGACATGTTAAAAATATTATATGATTTAGTATGCTTATAAAAGTTTTTGTGTCAATAAAAGCAAAACATATAAAATATGGAACCAAAAATTTCTCAAAATTATAACAACTATAAGGTCATATAACTCCATACATTATTTCAGGCACATGTAGACATGGTTTGAAGTAAACGACCATAACCACTCAGTCATGGACGTCCTGTGGTTGTATGGTTGATGGCAATATAACTCACACATAGCAGCTTTGGTTATATAACCTTATATTTATTTTAATTGGCCTATAACCAGTCAAAAACTAGAAATGTGTCCATAGGACACGGATGCCCCCACACGCCACTATTCTGTCAATCTTATGACTCCAGGTCAAATATTTTTTGGACTACATGTGCCACAAGTTGAAAACAAAAAATCAACAATGGGCCATAATTCTGTTAAATTTGGTCTCAGCGAAAATTCCTTCCTTTACTACCATCTACACATTAAGGTTGTTCATCCCTGGAAGTTTAAGCAAAATCTGCCATCCGGTTTAAGAGAAGTTGCGTTCACAAAATTTCTACATAGTATATAATGAAAAAATCAACAAAGGGCCATAATTCTGTTAAATTTGGTCGCAGCGAAAATTCCTTCCTTTACTACCATCTACACATTAAGGTTGTTCATCCCTGTAAGTTAAAGCAAAATCTGCCATCCGGTTTAAGAGGAGTTGCGTTCACAAGATTTCGGGACTTTTGGACAGACGTACGGACGGACGCTCTAACAGGAGAGTAATAATGTGGCTACTCTATTGTTCTCTCTATTGTTCTTTTTAGCCACACAAAAGAAAATAGCCACATAAAAGCATTACAGAATGAATGACATCAAAGAGAAAGAACAGTTACCTATTGTCCCTCTAGCCACATAATTACTGTCCTGTGAGTCGGACAGACGGACGGACGGACAAGTGCAACGCTATATGCTCCCACATTGTGGGGGCATAAAAATCTTTAGAACTTATATCAAAATTATACAGAGAGTTGAATGAATATAAAACTTACTTGGAATAAGACCTTCTTCTGTGAGGGGCTGTCTATTGAAGGGATCAGTCTGTGAGTTGAGAAGATGTCGTACAATAATGTGTCTATCAACTACATTGCCACTGGGAAGCTCTACAGGGTCCTTCATCAATGTATCCATTAAAGCATCTAAAAAAAAATAATTTAAGAAAAATGAAAATTAAAAATGTTTGTCAGTGTTACATTTATTTCTCTTTCTGCTTTTAAGCATAATGGTTAAGATCATATGGCCATTTTCCTGCTTCACTGGTGTAGGAACACCTCAGGTCATCATCCATGCATTATTTCTGCCGCAAGTAGGCACACAAGTAAAACCACTGATTTTCCGTATTCTAGCACAATAGCTTCCTCACATGAAAGAATCCAAAGTCCCAGATGGGATTTGAATCCACAGCAATTTATAATTGTCAAGTGATTTTAGTTGTCAACCTTAACTACTCAACTATAGAGGACCCCTATTTTTAAGGAAATTTAGTTGACGACCTTAAGGACCTGACTATGGAGGCCCCTATTTTTTTTTAAGTCATTTTAGTTGACGACCTTAACCACTCAACTATGGAGGCCCCCTATTTTTTTTAAAAGTAATTTTAGTTGACGACCTAAACCACTCAACTATGGAGGCCCCCTATATTTTTTAAGTAATTTTAGTTGGTGACCTTAACCACTCAACTATGGAGCCCCCTATTTTTTTTAAAGGCACTTAAGTTGGTGACCTAAACCACTCAATCATGGAGGCCCCCTATTTTTTTTAAAAGTAATTTTAGTTGGCGACCTAAACCACTCAACTATGGAGCCCCTTATTTTTTTTCAGTCAATTTAGTTGGCGACCTAAACTACTCAATCAGGGAGGCCCCCATATTTTTTTAAGTAATTTTAGTTGGCGACATAAAACACTCAACTATGGACTCCCCCTATTTTTCCTGTATTTAAGCTGTTGTACCTCTAAATTCATCTGGAACTTCACCATAGTCCCTCTCCTCCCTGGCTTTTTGTACAACAATCTCCTCCACCTTATCTTGTATAGACTTGAACTTTTCTATCTCGTTCTCAGTCTTAATACAAGCTCTTCTCATTCTGGCCATAGCATCATCAAATAACTCCTTCCTGTACGATCTCTGTTAAAATATAGAAATATTTTTTTTTATGAAATAAATAATGCATTGACCTACACTAAATATCTTAAATAGACTTTTCCATCTTCAGGAAAAATTCCTGTATGATATCTGTAGATATATATAGATTTTTTTTTTTATAAAATGAATAATGTGATAATCTTCCCACATTGAATATCTTACAATGACTTGTCCACTTGTCTATCTGGACTAAACCATTCAATATTTTTAGGAAAAATTGTAAAATATTTAAGCCTACCGACTGAAGAGCTAAATGTGCTCACATTGATCAGATGGCACAAAAGTGCACCAGTAAATGGGTAGGTGCAATTACTGTCAACAGGCTAAAGGCTCAAAAAGAGAAAATCAGAATCCCTTAGATTACTGAAAATGTTACAGGCTCGGTTAGATTGAGTCTGTTCATGGAAGTTACTGGGAAGTACCATTTCCCCACTTAATTTGAATAATCCATTTGTCCAACTTAAACATTTTTAGTTTATCAGGGTTGGTATTAAAGTACAAAAAACTATGCTAGCAAAGAAAACGTTTACAAGTCTAGTAATTGTTTGTCTTCACAGATGTGCAGCATGGTCCGCCTCTATAGTGGTGACATATGTTGGATATTATAGCTGCTAACAAATTTTAAGTAATTAATCTACACTGCCTTGAAAAAACACAATTTTAATATACATTGTAGCTATAACATTTTGTGTCTAACAAAATTTGGGATAAAAAAATCTATTATGTAATGTTGTTTTTATTTTCTTTTATTTGTAGCTATGTTATTAAATTATTGCTATAGCATCTTTTTTACTTGGTAAAATCATACAATTTAATTTCCGAAAATAATTTTAATAAAATTACATGATTTTATCCACATAATATCCATTTTGTACATAACAAGAAAGGAAAAAGTAAATAAAAAACCCCAATTACCTCCCTTTAGTAATCCAAAATGCACTGTTAATATAAATAACTATATTTTTCCATAGAAAAATTGATAATATTCCTATCACCATATGTTTAGGTTAATAACCAAGGACTGCTGGAATCATCATAAATGAAATCAGGTTTTATATTGTTCTGGTTATATTTGTCTAATCTTAATATGCAATTAGTTAACCATCCAAACTTTAATTAAGTTAAACACCTACTATATATAGTTGAGTTAAGCACAGCACTACTGCCCGAATGACCCTCGGTGGTCCGGGGTGCAGGCTTCAAACCTGTAGATGATTAGCGTCATAGTGGTTCAATTCCACCTTTCGGGCGAAATAAAAGAGTCTTTGTGGTAAAAAACAATCATTTGGGCCAACTAAAAAAGCACCTAAGAAACGGGTCTTTTGCTATTAGAAAGAGAATTGGTAATGGAAGATACATGCTCATTTGCTATAAAACATATCCCTCCCTTTTATTGGAATAAAATATGCATTCCACCAAATAAGATCAAATTTTCATTTATACTTAATACTTTCCTTCCAGTCTTTATGAAAATCATAAAGTGGAAATGAATTGGATTGGGGTTTTTTTTGTGCCTTGTAGATTGCTGTTTTATTGTGCATTGAAGATTGCTTATGACTTTAATTCTCCCATGTTTGCGTTACAAAGATCATTTTTCAGGAATTCTGAATATTATACAGCATAATTTACCTCATCATTTGCTATGGCCTCACAGAATTTGGGGCAGTCTAAATGCAGGTATATATCTGTGAGAGAATTCAGCAACTTTTTGGGCTCCCATCCGTACTTCTCTGGATTTTTCACCTTCAAGTTTTTACATTTTGAACCACACAGTTGCTGCAGATTGAAGTTTAACATAGCAGCTAATCTATCAACTAGTTCCTGCAAAGGAAAACATAAAAATGTTATTAAAGGCATATAGGGATGTTAAATAATCATTTTGTAATTATAATTAGGTTTTTCGGGCTTAAGTCACAGTGACACTGTTACAGATATATAGCAACTTTCCAGATTAACTAAAACAAGAGGGCCATGATGGCCCTGAGGTCGCTCACCTGTATATTGGCCCCCCCCACCCCCGGGCCAATTTTTACCCAAGGGCTTTTATTTGTTTATTTGAACAGACTTGGTAGACACCCATAAGAAGATGTTTCATGCTAAACATCTAAGTTCTAGCTCATTGGGTTTTTTAAAAGAAGATTTTTTAAGGTTTTTACTATACACATATAGTTAAAAACAATGACACCCCTGGGGCAGGGCCAGTTTTGACCCCCGGGCTTTTATTTGAACAAACTTTGTAGATATTTACTTAAAGATGTTTCATGCTTAATATCTAAACTCTAGCTATTTGGGTTTTTTCAAAGAAGATTTTTAAGTTTTTGCTATACACATATAAGGAAAATCAATGACCCCCCCGGGCGGGGCCAGTTTTGACCCCAGGGCTTTTATTTGAACATACTTGGTAGACACCCATTAGAACATGTTTCATGCTAAATATCTTAGCTCTAGCTCTTTGAGTTCTTTAAAAGAAGATTTTTAAGTTTTTACTATATGCATTTAGGGAAAATCAATGACCCCCTGGGGCGGGGCCAATTTTGACCCCAGGGCTTTTATTTGAACAAACTTGGTAGACACTTATTAGAAGATGTTTCATGCTAAATATCTTAGCTCTAGCTCTTTGGGTTCTTTAAAAGAAGATTTTTTAAGTTTTTACTATATGCATATAGGGAAAATCTATGACCCCCTGGGGCAGGGTCAATTTTGACCCCAGGGCTTTTATTTGAACAGCTTTTATTTGAACAAACTTGGTAGACATTCACTAGAAGATGTTTCATGCCAAATATCTAAGCTCTAGCTCTTATGGTTCTTTAAAAGAAGATTTTTTAAGTTTTTACTATATGCATATAGGGAAAATCAATGACCCCCCGGGTGGGGCCAATTTTGACCACAGGGCTTTAATTTGAACAAACTTGGTAGACACTCACTAGAAGATGTTTCATGCTTAATATCTTAGCTCTAGCTCTTTGGGTTCTTTAAAAGAAGATTTTTTAAGTTTTTACTATAATTATGCATGTAGGGAAAATCAATGACCCCCTGGGGCGGGGCCAATTTTGACCCCAGGGCTTTTATTTGAACAAACTTGGTAGACATTCACTAGAAGATGTTTCATGCTTAATATCTAAGCTCTAGCTCTTACGGTTCTTTAAAAGAAGATTTTTTAAGTTTTTACTATATGCATATAGGGAAAATCAATGACCCCCCGGGGCGGGCCAATTTTGACCCCAGGGCTTTTATTTGAACAAACTTGGTAGACACTCACTAGAAGATGTTTCATGCCAAATATCTTAGCTCTAGCTCTTTGGGTTCTTTAAAAGAAGATTTTTTAAGTTTTTACTATATGCATATAGGGAAAATCAATGACCCCCTGGGGCAGGGCCAATTTTGACCCCAGGGCTTTTATTTGAACAAACTTGGTAGACACTCACTAGAAGATGTTTCATGCCAAATATCTAAGCTCTAGCTCTTAGGGTTGTTTAAAAGAAGATATTTAAAGATTTTTCTTTCGGTTGCCATGGCAACCAGAGTTCTGCATGGAATTAAATTCTTTGAACAATTTTTAAAGGTGACCACCAAAGGAACATTCCTGTGAAGTTTGGATGAAATTGGCTCAGTGGTTTATGAGGAGATGTCATTTAAAGCAAAAGTTTACGGACGGACGACGGACGGACACCGGACGAAAAGCCATCACAAAAGCTCACCCTGTCACTTTGTGACAGGTGAGCTAAAAAAACATTGTGGGTGCTTCACAGGCAAAAACAGACACCTGGGTGGAACTACTGACCACTGTAAGCTAGCTACATCATTATGAAATAAGTCATACTTCAATTGACAGCACCTTTTTGGCTATAAGAAATGATTTATTGTTACAATTTTTATATTCAAAATTTTACAATAATATATGCTCACAGGTATGAGGAAGGGTTTCTGTATTTTGTCAGTTAAGTAATGGAACATGTCGACAGTTTCTGTTGCCAAGGTGAGATATGATCTACACTGTTTTTCATCTGTCGACAGCTGCTGTTGGAGATTTCTTTGTTGTTCCTATAAATGCAAATGTTTTTATTCTAACTGTCATAATATGAAATATTTATATAAATGCTTACTGTTCAAAATCTGAAAAAACTTAAATGTCACACTTCAATTGTCAAAAACCAAAGCTAATAAAAATATTTTTTGAAGAAACAAGCTCAAAAATATTGGCAACACAGTTGTAACTGTGAATGTATTATGCAAAAAAGTGAAAGGATTAATAATTTTTATAGCCAAAATTCTCCCCTGTTACTACCAGAGTAACAAATTTCTGCATATCTAACAAGATGTAGATTTTTTTTACCTATTTTAACAATCTTTATGTTTTCATAAAATATAACACAAATCTTGAGATGTGCTTTCATCAAATATTATAAAGTGGATGCCAAACATTTCTGTTTTGCATGGAGAAGACTTAAAAGGTTTTATTATAAAACTCTTCAAGTCTTCACAATATGAGTTTGCATTCTACATTTGTATTTGTCTTTTTTCCTTCCTTTCATTGCCAATAAGGTATTTATTTCTAATAAATAGAATATTAGAAAGAAATGAAACAGTTACCCTACTTTATTAAACTGACTTTTAAAACATTTTCTACTACCATCCAATAGGTTTTTGCTCTATGAAATGCTTTATACTATGAAATGCTGTACTATACTATGAAATACTATATCATTAAAACGTACACTAGTTTTTTTGCTCCACTCTTCTGTGTTGGCCACTTCATCTTGTACCTCATGAATTCTCTTCAAGCAGTCTAGACTCTCGTCCAGTAAGAATGTTGTGTCGTTCATCAACATATTGACAAACTTCACAAACTCTTTACCTTGACTGTAATATTAACATACATGTTGAAAAATATAAACTGGAGTTTCAGTTATCAAAAATTAGCAAAATATTATTACTGTTATAGCCATTATATTCCTCGAAATGGCATATTTCATCATTTTCTATTATCCAATAAAAATCAAATTATCATAAATACAACCATTAGAACATAAGAAAATCTTGTTATTCAACTGCTTTCTGAATAGATAACAGACAGTGGTCTACTTATTATACATTCATTTCAGCTGGAAACACTGAAAATATCAGAAGGCAACATTCCAGATTAACTAGTGCAGAAGTGCATTATTCCAGACATTAATGGGCACCTATGTAGCACTATAGACCTTTTCATTGTGTAGGTTTATATAGTGTCTATCTAGCTTTTCTAGTAAATTGCTACGCAGTACATTACTTCTGGCAATTGGGATGTCAGAGAGTAAAATGAATCAAAAACAGCAACTTTCAACCACTTGGCTAAAATGTATCCCATATTCTTTCTCTAAACTTAGAAGAATGTTACAACTAATTGCCAAACACAACTTTAAAACAGCCATCTATACCTGAGCAGAAATAAGCTAAAAAATTTTGTTTTAATTATCTATTTCCTTTGTTTTCTAAATTTTTAATAGTTTGACTTTTTAATGGTATATTTCATGTCTTGGTTTCTAACTTGTAACAAAAAATATGTCTGTCTTTTTTTTATATAACATTTGTATTGAGGTGTATTTTTTCTTGTAGTTATAATACCCCCTTTTCCTTATTATCATTAATGTAAATATAATGGGTTTTATTACAACTTTTCTGTATTAAACAAATGTTTTTATTCTAAAACCTTAAGTATCATTTTGATTTGTATTTATGTATGTAAAAATGTCATGCTGATGTTACCGCCTGAATGCAAATGACGTCATTTTTGTATGTCGTTGATTTTCATTTCTGATGAAGACATATTAAAGTCGAAACTAGTAAAATGTATTGTCTTGATTTTTTATATTAGTTGAAAATGTTTGTACTGACTTGGCAACTTCGATCAAAACATACTAAAGTTGAAACTAGCAAAATGTATTGTCTTGATTTTTTACATTAGCTGAAAATGTTTTGTACTCACTTGGCAACTTCGATCATTTTGAGCTGATGAGATGGTATGGTCCACATGGATTTAAAGATGATACTGATATGATATCTGATACTAAACTTGTCGTAAAACTCATTACTCGAACCAGTCTGTTCAATATCTGAAAATAAACAAATTGCATTTGTGAAAAAATCCTATGCCACTGCATTAATACAACACTAAATAGTAAGAACAGAAATAGAATTTTTTATGTTTGTTTCTTTACATCTGAACTTTGCCATAATGCAGTTGTGTCTAGTATATAAGGGGTCAAAGTGATATTTCAAATGAAAGACAATGCACAAATAAGTTTAATGTTAAGATTGCGAAGGCATAAAAAAGATACTTCTTATTCAAAACCTGGGCCATGCCTTGAGATGTCAGTCACAATGGATATGATATATTAGCTTATTATAAGTAGTACCATAACCAAACAAATATCAGAATAGATATATGTTCATAAGACACAGATGAAACCACATTCCACGTTTTTGTTAGTCTATGGATGGACAATATTGTCACAAGACAGGGTGATGGAAATCTATTTTAAGCCTCAGCCGTGCTCTCCTTAATTAGTGACATAACAATGAGTAAAACAGATTTTTTAATTTTTTATCACAAAAATTATTAGCACTTAGCAATGTGTGATATCAGTTGCTGATAAAGAAGTTCCATCAAACAAATAAAATTGATAGCGAGTCTAAGGCATAATGGGCCTTTAAGAAGTGTACAGATTTTTTTTTTAAATTCCTTAAACCAAAATAATTACTCTTGAGAAAATTTCATTATCCAGACCTGTATAGAACTGCATGAGTGCCGGTGCCAAGAATTCTCTAGATAAATCATGTAACAAGAGGCGCTCATGTATCTTCTCCATACGTGGCTGTACGTTAGGGTTAAAGTAGAACATCACTTCTACAAGTTTGGCTACAAGGTATGGGTTGTTGGCATAATGAGCAGAGCATGCAAACACAATGAGCAACTGTATCACTTTGTCCGTAGCTGGGTCTTCTAACACATGTGGCATTGCCCTGAAATTATCAGAATGATACATTATACTTAGAACATGACATGACATTGCTTGTTTTCTTTGTAATATAAACATTATAATTAGATCCAGACCAGCCTGCGCATCCGCACAGTCTGATCAGGATCCATGCTGTTCGCTATCAGTTTCTCTACTTGTTAAAGGGTTTGTAAGCGAACAGCATGGATCCTGATCAGACTGCGCGGATGCCCAGGCTGGTCTGGATCCATGCTGGTCACAAATGCATTATGTTGGTTTTGTCATGACGCGGCTCATATATTTCTTTATATTACACATGTGTAGTATAACATTGGTGTACGAAAACTGTGTATAAAACCTCTAAAAGTCTTAGATATATTTATTGTGGTCCACATTATTGCAAAACAAATTTACTGCCCTTTCGGGTACTTGTTTCACGACTTCTCATATGTATTTTTTCCTTGAATAGAGACATATGTAAACTCACATGTTGCAAATTTGCCGTGCATTGCATACAGGTTACTACAGTTATAGAATTGCATGAGGTGCTTACATTTTTACTATTTTTCTATCTCATCATATTTATATCTTATTTATAAAATGTTCCAATTCATTTAATGTATGTTTTACTAAATTTTAACCACCTGTGTCTAGGCAACAGCAAAAGTTTACATCATTTTGAATCATTCCTCATATTAACATCTGCATGAAGTGAAACAATGTTAAGTAAAAATGTTACGCTCAAACAAAGTAAGCCATGGTTTTGATATGACTTGAATTTGAAACCCAAGGATCTTGAAGGTAATGTCCTACTGCTAGACCACAAGTTCCAAATACAACCACTTAATGAAAGAAATCAAAACAAACTTACTGAGCAACAAAGAGAGTAAATTCTGCAATATCCTCCAGATAAAATTCTGGTAAAGCAGAAAATATCTGAGACACCTCACTGGGTAAAGGTAACACTTGACTGAAACAAGGCAAGAAATATTACATTTATTACAAGTAAATCTTTGCGCATAAACTATTATCAAAACTGTAAAAGAATAAAGAAACTGAACAACATGTCAACAGGGTTTCAGTATTATTTCTATTGACCAGTTTCTGTAATTTGACTGTCAACTGGTTTCAATAATTTTACTACATTGTATCAGTTTTACTATTGACTGGTTTTGATGAACATCATCAGGATGTCATAAGTTCAATTTAAAAATCTAACGTTACTTTTCAAAATGTTTCTTTGTAGAAAATCTATGGTCAATAAAGTAATTTCAGTTATCTAATTCTTTCTTAGCAACTCTCCACAAAATCTTAATCTTTTCCTTGCTTTAGCATAAAGTGATTAGCATTTTCTATCAATATAGCGCCAACCACATCCACATTTGCACATCTATGCAGTTTGACCAGGTTCTATAGTCGTTGGCCCACTAACTTTCAACTTGATGTCCCAAAGATTTGATAATGGACAGTTCCAAATTTGTAGTTGGACAATTCCATTTATGGAATTCAGCAAACTATGGTTTGAAGAATGATTATTTAGAAGAGTTAATAAATTAGACCCTGTAGTAAATTAGTACCATATTAGGTATGTGGCAGCCCGGTAGTGAATGCAGCTTACTTCTATTACTTAAATAAGGGAAAAATTCCACTTCATAAGAAACCATTTATTTGTGAACTCTTTTATACTGAGAATTCTTTTAAGGACGTTTTCGGGAGTTTTTCATATAGACATATAGGCAAAACTAAAACTGTTCAATAGAATTTATTTAAACTTGGCATGTTGTTAGAATATGATAACAGAAACATTTTAAACGGAAAAAAATTGGGGTCACCGTTCTCGTCTTTGAGTTATCTGCCCCTGAATCAGACTTTTCTACTTATTTGAGGTCATTTCAAGAGCAGATAACTTATACATACTTAAGTGAATTCTTGTTTTTAGTTCTGGATTAATTTTTTCTTTTTATTGTTGAGTACAATACATAATAACATGCAATTCTTTACATCGTTTCTGTCAATTTTTTTCAATGAAAATAAAGGTACTTTTAATTCGTAAAAAATAGGCCATTTTTTAAGTAAAAATGCGCAGGTTAAAAGAAGTAGTGGGAATAAAAACTACCCACGCTAAATTTGTTCTTGAAATTTTGCATATCAACTAAAACGAAGGTAAGCTTCATGGAAATAAGGAAAAAAATTGTATTGTTTCCATTCATTGTAAATTATCTGCCCTTGAATTTAACAAAAAAGTCCAATTCAAGGGCAGATAACTCAAAAATGAGGACGGTGACCCCAATTTTTTTTCCGTTTAAAATGTGTCTGTTATCGTATTCTAACAACATGCCAAGTTTAAAGAAATTCTATTGAACAGTTTTAATTTTGCCTATATGAAAACTCCCGAAAACGTCATTAAGATAAACTTTAATAGAATTCTTTAAATTCATTAAAAATTTATACATCAATGGATGAATAAAGGTTTCAGTATAAAGTTGTTAAAAGCTACAATTTGACAAACCCTTTATTGACAGGATCGGCTACACGGAGCATGTAGTCTGACAGTTTACTGTAGAACTGAAGACAACTTCGCAGTAATGACTCGTCCATTATTGCAGCTTCTGCACATAATTTACTCTTCTGTAATCTCTACAATAACCAAATTAAATATAAGTGACACTAACTTTATCAGATTCTAAAAATTTAACTTATTTCCTGCTATAAATCATACCGTATACAATATGAATTCTTATTATTATTTGATACTTAGTTTAGTTTATACAAATTTATTTTAGTTGGATTGTGTTAGAAGCTATAAGCTTATTGAAACACTTGTATCCGTTCCTGGAGCAACCAGTACTAAGCAATGAATGTAAAGTTTCTTGCTCAAGGAAACAACGGCTTGCCCCTGACAGGGTTTGAACCCACGCGTTCAGCAATCCTTAGATTACTAGACGAACGCGTTAACCTCTCGGCCATGCCGCCACTTTTTATTTGATACTTGAAATGCGATGAAAAAATCCCTGAGGTAATCACAGGCTTCTCTAGATGAATTCAAAATGTCATCTTGTATATAGATTTTCTTTGTCTATTTCATCATTTTAATAACTATTTTATCACTTAGTATTGAAATGACCTAATAATTTTTTTATTTTTTTTCGTAACATAAAATGTAAAGATATATGACAAAAAAATGGTTTATTGATACTTTCAAATAAATCTCTCAATCTATTTGTATCTTTCTATTATAAATACAAGTATCTTATATTACCAATTTAAAAAACAAAATATGGCGATTTTCACCTTCAGCCTACTTGTGGTAAGAGATCCTACCTATGCAGACCTAGAATATCCAGCACATAAGTGCCATGTGATCATGGTATGCAGAGTTATCTTATAAGTAAGTACATATTTAGGAATTTACCCTAAAATGATGAATAGTTATTTCCCAATTTAAAGATATTACAATATTAAGCATGGGAATGGTTTAAGTCAACTTTTATCAAGACTGTACTTTAAGTACACAGCTTGTGGGTTATAGTAACATAACACATAAAAATTACCTGATACTGTGATTTATATTTTTTCATGATTTCTCTATTCCTAGAGGCAGTGGGTAAATGTCGCCATAGAGATTCTGAATTCTCCATCTCTTCTACGATCCTCGACAACTCACGTATTGCACGTAAACATCGCTGATGTTTTCTGACAGCTGGCAGTATGGATAAATGATGACAGAACACCGTCACTGTGAAACATTCTGTGGGAAACTTTGGATCCTGCCAAGGTGGACTTGATTCTTTTCCTGAAAGAATTATTAATTACAGATCTTAAAGATTTGAAGAAAAAAAGAAATGTATCATTAAGGCTCCATAAAAGTATATTTTCAATGAAATTTGTTTTCTCCAATTTTGAATTTTATGTCTAAAACATGCTTGACTAAAAACTCTTTTACCAAGACAAAACAGATTCAAATTTTTGTTTTTAAGGAGTGAAATATTTATTCTGAATTGAAAACTTTCTTGTCATTATTTTATTTACCATCAATGCATGCAGGATGTGCAAATTCATTTCTCTGACAAAATATAAAGTAGGAAATTCAATACAATGACATATACGAAAAAAAAAAAATAAATGTGTACTTTTTTAGCACCCAGTAATAGTATGTAAAGTTCAGGAACAAGAGCAATGTAAACTGCTTACTTAATTTTTCAACCCACTCCTCTGCCTCTTGTGAAGACATTTTCAACCTGGACTCCGACTTATACGTCACTCTACACTGTGGGTGAAATATATAGTACTGGTCAACCTATAAAAAGAAATCAAATTAGTACTGGTCAACCTATAAAAAGAAATCAAATTAGTACTGGTCAACCTATAAAAAGAAATCAAATTAGTACTGGTCAACCTATAAAAAGAAATCAAATCAGTACTGGTCAACCTATAAAAAGAAATCAAATTATAATGGTCAACCTATAAAAAGATACCAAATTCAATAATCCCTTAAGAGTATTAGTCCTTACAATGCTGGAACGAAAAGAGACTAGCATTTTCCACCAGTATAGCATCAGGCCAGCCTGCACATCCTTGCAGTTTGACCAGGCTCTTTACTGTTTGTTGGCTGACCAAAGAAAATGAAAGCTGGACAAAACCATTTAAGAAATTCAGCAGATTATGAAATTGAGGCAATTACAACAATAACATGCCACCATTGACTATCATAGCCCCAGGCCAGTTGGCACAACCATAAATTTTAATCAGACTATTTTTTCTTTTTTTTCATATTGTTTTCCTTTTCTTACACTGAACTCAACTTAAGTTCCAAATTAAAAGCTGGACAAGTCCATCAAACATATTTAACAATGTAATGGTTATAAATACTGTATAAGTGGAAATTTCTGTGTGTCAGAGAGTTAGTGAATTTAAAAATCCAGACATTTCGAGTGAGGAAGTATTGCGAGTAGCAAATCGCTGATGTCTAAGAAGCATGAAAACAGGTTGGTTGATACATGTATTTACACTAGAGGAAATTTTAGCAATTTTCATCAATTCACAAAATTCGCCAATACTTCAGCCTCAATAACTTTACCACTTGAATTAAGTACTTCATTTTCTCATTTCTTCTCGACAACCAAGAACAAGAGCTGTCGATAGGACAGCATGCTCGACTATTCTAAGTGCTTGACAGTAAAAGAGCCTTGATAATGTTAAATTTTTTAAGTTCACAAAAGGGCTAATTTTTTTTATAAATTCATGTTATAGGCCTTAGAGAGAGTAATTATACAGTATTGGCTTGACTATTTGGAAGGTAATGTCACAAGGGTGTTTTATTGAGTATAATAATACTAATTACCTATGAATACATAAATTTGAAAGAAAAGGTATAAAGACTTGTTATTAAGATGTTTTATCAAGTAAATCACTGCTTTATTATTATGAATGCATAAAATTGTCCCAAAAAGGCACAAACCCTTCCGTAGTTATGGAGATAACAGCTTACAAGCAAAACTTTACCATGAATTTCTAAGTTGAAAAAGGGGAGAAAAATCAGCAAGATAGAATTATGGATCTTTGTCAGTGACCTACAATTATGACCCAAAATGCATATGTGAAGTTTTAAATAAATATCTTTAATAGTTATTGAGATATGTAAAACTTGCATGTAAACATTAACCAAGAGACTAAGTAGGAAAGGGGATATGAATCAGCCTTAATGCAAGATAGAGTTATGGAACTTGGTCAGTGACATACAATTATGACCATCAAATTATGACCCTAAGTACATGTGTAAAGTTTCAAGTAAATATCTTTGAAGACCTTTAACCAAAATTTCTAAGTTTCAAAGGGGCAAATAATTCTGCAAATATTGCAGGCAAAGTTATGCAATTTTGCAAACTGATGAACATTGTTACTATAAAAAAAGTATTTTAAATTTCAATTGAATATCTCAAGCAATAATCGAGATATTTGACTTTACAAAAAAACTTTAACCAAAATTTCTAAGTTCCAAAGAGGCATAATTCTGTCAATATTGTAGGCAGAGTTATCCAACTTGTCAATCTTATGTACCTTGTTACTATAAATAAGTATTTTAAGTTTCAATTGAATATCTCAAGCAATAATTGAGATATTTGACTTTACAAAAAACTTTAACCAAAATTTCTAAGTTAAAAAGGGGCAAATAATTCTGTCAATATTGTAGGCAGAGTTATCCAACTTGTCAATCTGATGTACCTTGTCACTATAAATAAGTATTGTAAGTTTCAATTGAATATCTCAAACAATGAATAAGATATTTGACTTTACAAAAAACTTTAACCAAAATTTCTAAGTTAAAAAGGGGCATAATTCTGTCAATATTGTAGGCAGAGTTATCCAACTTGTCAATGTGATGTACCTTGTTACTATAAATAAGTATTGTAAGTTTCAATTGAATATCTCAAGCAATAATTGAGATATTTGACTTTACAAAAAACTTTAACCAACGCAGACGCCGACGCTGACGCCAACGCCGGGGCAACTACAATAGCTCTCATATTCTTCGAATAGTCGAGCTAAAAAGGTGTCTATGCTGTTGTATTTAAGCTTATTCAAACTGTTCTATCCCATATCGGAAAGGGAAACATTCATGGGATAGTCTTATTTTTTTTTAAAGTAAAAGACATCAAACAAGAACAAACCTTGTCTAGTGAAATTTTCATGGAGAGTTTTTGTAGAACTGTGAGCATGTTTAACATGTAGCCCTCTCCTGCCACCAAATTTTCATTCACCTGAAAACATTACAGAAATAATAACACTGTAGTTTCCTTAACAATGAACAGTGCAGGCACAAAATCATTGCTAAATGGCTAAAAGCTTACTTAAAATAGCAGCATAATTGAGGGCTAAATCTAAGCTTTAAATTTAAGAATTTTTAGTTTTTGTTAGATTCAGAATATTTGTGAAAATTGTTAGAAAGTGAACATACAACAATTTGAGACTTCTTTGAATTTCTGTCTAGAGCTGTAGATATATATGTCATGGCTGCATCTCTTGTTTCACCATTCACCAAAACACAATGAACTATTTTATATAGCTCCTCCTGTAATTATAAATAATACCATTGCACCATGTCAAAACTTTTAAAACTTTATAAATTATTTTATACAGGATTTTTACTATGATCAACAAAAATCCTATGTTTTAATGTTAGGCAGAACTCACTATTCTGGTTTTTTTTAAGTTCACATATTTTGGTCATACAGGCAGTGTAACGATGTCATTTTTAAGCATGACATTGATCTGACATGGGGGTGGAAGATACAACGCAGGCTTATATGCAAATAAACAAATCCTCCATTGACCACATATTTGTCACAATGATTTTTTCTAAGAAATCAGCTTATTTTCTAAATTGTTCATTTGTAACACAATGGCCATTTGACACAATACTAACACTATGTGTATAATCTGAAAATCAATCTGGAAGAATATAAATTAAACATAGTAATAATATTTACCCTGAGATATTGCATTCTATGTTGTAATGACTGATGGATGAGGCGGACATTTTCCGGGGTTAACTGATGGCCGGAGAAATGTTTCTCTACAACTTTTGTCTGAAATATGATATATGTTACTCATTATCTACATATAGCTTTATAAAATAGGCTTATCATAGTCTATACAGTATCTGATCATGGTTTATGTAATTATATAGAAATTTCCTTTCTTGACTGCAATATCTACATATTTACATCTGCACTATAAAATGATTTTTAAATTTTGAACAAGTGCATAATAATTTGTTCTCAAAACTATATCTATTATATCTATATATTTAACTGACAACAATATAAGCTTAAGACATACTTTGGCATATATTTAACAGTTTACTACATGTATAAATCAGAAGCCCTCCAGTCCAAAAATGACATGGTGGACAAAAGCTGCCCATGAAAATGACAGGGCGGACAAAGGCCCTCCCATGAAAATGACAGGGCGGACAAAAGCCCTCCCATGAAAATGACAGGGCGGATAAAAGCCCTCCCATGAAAATGACAGGGCGGACAAAAGCCCTCCCATGAAAATGACAGGGCGGACAAAAACCCTCCCGAGAAATCAACAAGGCGGAAAAAAGGGCTTTTGTCCTACACTTGTATAAATCATAGCTGACAAAAATCACAACTTAAAGAGTAAACATCAACCGTAATACACAGACCAATGTGAATAGGACATTTTGTTTGTTAAGGTCAAGGTCAACTTTTGGTTTTTAAGTATACAGAATTAAGTTGTAGAATCATTAAATTTTAAGTGAGATGAACTTACATTATCCTCAGCAAACACACTGAGAGCAAAGAAAGGCCCAAGGTAAGACAATTTGGCAACTTCCATTCCTGCTGCCTGAGTAAATACATCTGGTAACCAATTAGATAACTGTACCATCTGAAAATACCATGTTAATAATAAATAATCTTAAGTGAGAGCAACATTTTAAAATTGTATTTTTGTTTTGTTAAGTTTCTAAGCCACACAAACACACAAAGAAAGGTCATATGGCAACTTTCCAGCTTTACTGATGGAGGAATACATGTACAGCAGGTGCCCTAACGAGCATTTTCTCAGATACAAGTGTCACGTGTAGAACCACCAACCTTTGGTTAACTAGCTGGATAGCTTTTTGCTACACATGAACTCATATTACACATGAAAGAATCCAAAGACCCTGATGAGATTCGGACCAACAGTGGTGGTGGGAAAGGTGGGGGCAAGAAAGTGATTACAAGTCAGCAACTTTAATCACTCTGTTTAATGCTAGTTACACTGATGTATTACTTATATACAAACTAAGGGTGTAACGGTTGGAAAAAATGATAACCGTTTAAACAGCGATCTAATATCTATGTTAAATGTTTAACCAACCATACCAATAAAATCCTTTGATTTTCAACAGTAATTTTGTTTCTTTTTGACAAGATATGGCATTTTGTTTGTATTTTGTTATACTCAAAATGATTACAATTCATTTCAGAGTATATTGAGTAACTTATTTTCCTATAGGGTCATATTGTATTTGATCAGATCGGAAAAATAAATTGTTGGGTACAACTAAAATACAAACAAATTGTCATATCTTGTTATCAAAACTAAGGTAATATTAGAAACAATTTAAAACTTTTTGTCAAATATTATCCTCAGTTACAGGTTGTTGAATTTCCTAACCATTTTTTACCTAAAAACTGACCAGACCTGTTTAAATGGATAAACGTGACACCCCTAATACAAACAGTCATACAAACCTGCCTAGCCAGGTAGTATAATCATACTAAATACTGTTAACTTCTCAATTTTAGGTAATGAAACCCATTTATATTACAATGGACTATTCCAAATCCAAAGCAGGAAAAATCCATTGTAAAAATTGAGAAATGCTCATGATACGATAAATGTTACAATAAACAATCTATGTAGGAATTCTTATCTATGGGAGGCAACTGTTATAAAACTAAGTATCTTTGCATTTATTTAACTTTCTATTCAATAACAAGTATGCCATGACATTAACCAATCTTTTACAAATAAATCATTTTTTGGTTTATTTGAAATCTTAGTTTAAGGAGAAAAGTTAGTCATGTTCATCATGTAGGCATGAACTGTAAACTATATGTTTTAAGTTTACTTGGTTTTTAAGCCTATTTCAATACAATTTGAGCTCATATCTTGACAAACTGTGGTCCAGCTAACTGTTTTTCCTGGATAACTAACCAGTAGTTAACAACTTCTCCAAATGTGACCCACTTACTTATCTCTGATTTCCGAGACATACGGCCATTCAGACACAATGACTGAGATCAGCTGTCATGGAGAAATTTTGCCTAACAATACTTCACATAATATAAAAATTGCAGATTTGCATAAAAGCTTAATTAATATGCTTTAACATACTATATAACTTACATACAGCCTTAACAGATTAATTAGAAATAGATTTGAAGTAACAGATTTAACAAAGACTGACAGGTATATAAACATAATTTTAACAAGTTATTTCGCCATATGACCTATACTGTGTTGGTGCAAGTAAAACCCAACAAGTTATTCTTTGTTGTGTGTTAAAGTTTAGCTTTGTCCTTCTAAAATTCTACATTATCATCATATAAACTGAAATTCAAATTTACACAGTTATAATATTACAATATTACACATACCAAATTACATATAGGCCTAACAGATCCACATTTCACTTCAACAAGTTCACCGAGTACTGATATTACATCTCTATAATCATCATTGTCCAGTGATAAAGTTAATACATGACGTTGTAAACTTTGTAAGACTGGAACAAATACCTGAAACAAACGGGGCATATCATGACTATAAAATACATGTAAAATTTACATCAATAAGAAATTCTAGACACTTATCAAAAGAAGTAGACGGCAATTATTTTACTCTGCAGCTTAAAGTGAAAAAAAATTCTGGAGTATTTATTATAACAGAGCTGCATGTAAGTAAGTCAGCTCTACATTTCAGCAAGTTTATTTTGGAGTAAACCTGCAAAAAAGCATTGACAATTAAGTGAAAAAGGGGCATGACTGTGCAATTATTATTTTTTTTTAGTAACTTGATGTTTAAGAATGTATTTCTATAATATAGAATATGAACAAATTGGATGTGAAGCAAATACAACTGATGAGTAAACAATCAACTTTATCACAAAGTTAAACAAACACAAATGCCATTTAAGGCAAAAAGGTCATAGTAAGGGCACTTTTTTAGCTTCAAAAAAGTGAAGATACAATTGTTAGTTATTTCCATTTCAACTAAGCAAGAGTAAAGCCTTAATGATTTTATCACATTCATTTATCAATATCATTTTAGAAAAATAACATTTTTGAAAATAAATCTAACCTTTCAAGAGAGTTTATTTGAGCCGCGTATTGACAAAACCAAAATAATGGGTTTGCGAGGAACATGGACACAGACCAGCCTGCGCAGTTTGATCAGGATCCATGCTGTTCACTTACAAACCCTATAAAAAGTAAAGAAACTGATAGCGAACAGCATGGATCCTGATCAGACTGCGCGGATGAGCAGGCTGGTCTGGATCCATGCTAGTCGCAAACCCATTTTGTTGGTTTTGTTGTGACGCGGCTCATTTAAAGTGTGATTGACAGTTACTTACTTTTGTAAAGCTATCAGGATCTCGTTGTGTAGTGTAGATAAGTTCTGATAGAAAGCCACGTGGCAGATTATGTGATAACAGATACGGCAATAATAATGACATTTCTGCTTGAGATCTGAAAACAGACATGTTAAATCATACACTTGTATTACATAAAATAAAATGTCACATTAATAACAACATGTCTTAGAGATTTCAATATCAATTGTGGCTATAGTGGAGGAAGTGTTTACCCCTAGCCAAGGAATTATTGGTAAGTGCCTGCCGTGGTGAACAAACCTATATTATTTCATTTTATGGCACCAGTAAGGAATTCAGACTACGGAGTGCTTCTAATACACTTCAAGATTTCAAAATCAAGCTAAAATAAGCGTTTAAACTAAATCAACAGATAAAACCAATCTTTGACAATATTAAAGGAGTTGTAAAATAGCATCAGTTATGTTACCTTGGCTTGGTAAGTCCTCCCTGTAGTACTAGAGAAGTATGACATACACACTGGTTCCTAGCTGATGATAACATATCACTCATTGGTGGAACACTAGCTCTCTACAATATATATCGTAACATTGTTATAAACACATATCATATAAACTTGACATACACACTGGTTCCAGATGATAACATATCACTCATTGGTGGAACACTTGCTCTCTACAATATATATTGTAACATTGTTATAAACACATATCATATAAACTTGACAAAATACAAGTTTCACATTTCTTTCAACTCACTTGGCATATATATAGGCTTGTGGAATGCTTATAAAGGTGGCTGAGTGAGCAGTTTTGGCTGCATAAATAAATAAATAATCTAAATAATAAACAATCCATACAAATCAAAATTATTGATTGATTATTGACAGTGGCCTTCTATTTTGCTCTCAAATAAGTTTCAACCCATTTCCTTCTGTAGTTTTGGAGACACCAACTTGCACCCAAAAACACAACAAAAGTGTGACGCTGATGCTAGGGTGAGTACAATAACTCTTCGAATATGTGAGCTAAAAATTAAATGCTTAATGACAGTTCAATAACAAGTGTTTTATATCAGTATTACCTTTGGTGCCATCCTTTCTTCAACAGCCACCCTCTCATAACTGTCCACCAGATAATTGATCATTTCCACCTCCTTACATTTAACTGGTCGTAATTTACAGGTAAACTCTCTCCGAGGCTGTTCAGGTGTCACCATCATAGGACTGGCACTGTGAACAAACATTGTGAAAATCTTATTTTATGAATATTAGAGTAGTAAATTAATAAATATTAAAGGTTTGGTCAATAAAGAGAACTTGCATACAAGGTAAATGCAAGTGAATATATACATGTCCATTGACAGTCAAATTGTGTTGTTTTTTTTTACATGATGGGTCAGAACTTTTTTTTTTTCGAGATAGGTCTGGACCATTAACTTATATGAAAATTTCAGATCATTCAATTTTATTCCTTGACTCTGTTTTTCCAGAATAATTATTGGAATTATCAAAAGTGACCCAAAATTAAAAAAGCAATGCAGTGCTTTTCATTCAAATCAGCCAATGAATAGCAAAATATGATTTTCAGTTTATTTCCAAGTATATTTCTTAATTATCTTTTGCATATATTCCTGTTTAAAGAGCCTCAGCTGACTATATTTTTTTAGGCTTTTGGGACTCAGTGGAGTTCCTTTAAATTGTTAAATACAGTCGAGACTGCCTAAGCGACCCCCCTGATTTAAACGACTCCCTGTCTTATCCGACCTTGTTTCAGTACTCCCAACGTATTTTCCTATATAAATGGTCTAAATTAAACGACTCCCTGTCATATGTGACAAGCGACCCTAATTGTCTGGTCCCAATGCAATGTTTTGTCTGATTTAAACGACTTTCACACCTTTTAATTGTCCGTTAATCAGATAAAGATTACCTATTATAACACCCAGAGGGCCAAATTAATTAAGTCCAATTATAATCCAGCACTGTAGCAAACAAAGTCTACACACCTCTTTCTCAATTACACAGTTAGCATGTAGGTACCAAGTGACGTAGCGTCGGTTAATGGGAATCATGATGCAATCATGTGTGTGTAATGTACTACCTGAGTAAACTGGGTTAAGAATTGTGTTAGATTTTTTTTTAATTATAGAGTGCCCATGGAAGATTTTTTAGGCAGCAATTTTTTAATTTACCTTTATATGGCTGCATAATTAATACCGAAAAAAATATTGATACCAAACCAGAAAAAGCTTTGGATATGGATATGTTTACAGTTAACATCCTGTAACACAATTTTTTCACGGTTTTATTTCATAAATATGATGCTCAAATTAAGATTTGTCAATATTGTGAGTTCAAATAAGCATAATTTAGAAAGATATCACCCAATTTAACATTTCATGTAAATAAAGGCCATTAAAGGGAGGTAATTAGAACTTTATTTTCTATAAATTCTAAGTCAAAGTTTCCGATAAGAAATCAGTGCATGTAATTTATTGATTAAATATAATGTGCACAAATATTTGCAATAAACATTTTACATATTCTTTGATGTTTGAAAATTGTTTTATTTGCATAATTATATCCATATATATTTTTTGCAAGATATGGGATCACAGTAACAATATCAATGTTCTTTAAGTCACATTGGTATATAGACAGTTAGATGATATTGAGACTGTATTTAGAGACTCCCTGTCATATGCGACCTTTTACTGAAGGTCCCTTGGAAAGTCACATATGACAGTCTCGACTGTACTAATTGCAATTTTTAAATGCCAAAAGTTCAAGTTAAACTCTAATAATAAATATTTTTGTTGAAATCCAGAGTAAAGTGTAACCTATTCTTTTGTCATTGTTTTGAGATTTCTTTAAAAATTTGTCATTTATCCTATAGAGGAAAGTGAATATTTTGGCTAAATTCTCCATGAAACCAAACCCCGGCATATAATAGCCTATCCTAAACCTTGAATACTTAATTTTTTGTCAATCAAATAACCAGCCACTAAATCATCTCTGTAAAAACTTACAATCCTTAAGTTTTATGCCTCAAAATTTATGGTCAAAATAAACAAAATTTTGAAGGTAATAAATAAGACTAGTTACTGCAAAAGGGGATAACTTATACAGTTATTTTCAGAATTCCAAAATCCTTTCTTGATGTCAAAATTTTTGTGCAATTCAATATGCACAAAAAACAGAGAAAGCAAGAGTATGAGATACGGGCCCTCCATTAAAATTGATATATGTATTAAATAACAGGAAGAATTTGAACATATTATAGGAACATAAACATCAAACTGTTACCATATTAAGCACTAGATGATCATGTTTACGGTCTAAAACCTAATTTGTACGTTATCACATATCTTTTTTTAATTTTGATATTCATTTTGAAAAAAGGTTCCTCAAAGGGTTTGAAACATGTGCTTTAAAAAGTGAATAAAAATAAATTTTTATAAATGTTGGAGACTTAAGAACAGAAACAGAGAAAAATAAATTTATTGAATCCCTTATCAAAATCAAATCCATTTAAAGTATTTTGTACAGAGGTATACAGAGGAAATTTGTTTGTTTCAATTTAAAATTGAATATATATTTCACAAAAAAAGGATATTTAACTTATTTTTAGCTCTTTGGGGTTTTATAAAGAAGATTTTTTAAGTTTTTACTATATAAAGGGAAAAACAATGACACCTTGGGATGGGGCCAATTTTTACCCCAGGGCTTTTATTTGAACAAACTTGGTAGACACCCACTAGAAGATGTTTAATGCTTAATATCTAAGCTCTAGCTATTTGGGTTCTTTAAAAGAAGATTTTATAAGTTTTTACTATATACAAATAAGGACAAGAGTTCTGCATGGAATTAAATTCTTTGAGCAATGTTTAAAGTTGACTATCAAAGGAACATTCCTGTGAAGTTTGGATGAAATTGGGTAAGTGGTTAATGAGGAGATGTCGTTCAAGGTAAAAGTTTACGGATGGACGCCAGTAGAAAAGCGATCAAAAAAGCTCACAATGTCACTTTGTGACAGGTGATTTAAAATGTTAACCAATGCCAACACTGACCCCAATTGAGGGTCATGACTATAGCTCAACTTTTCTTCTACAAAAAAAGGAGCTAATAAGAATGATTTCATACCCCATAGGACTAGTTCCATAGTTCTTCATCGGTGAAACATCAGGTGTAGCTGGCTTCAGATCCAGTACTGGATTACTGTCTGATTGTTTTATCTTAAATAATACATCCATCACAGTCTGGTTTATCACATCCTTTGTGTCTACTTGTTTTATAAAATGAAAAGAAGCAGAACAATGGTCAATCTCAGTGATTCAGATTGGATCTTCTTTCTTTAGGACAAATGTCCTATATGGTAAAAAAAAGTTCAGGCCATTTGTCCTAAATCACAGAAAAACTTTCAACGGACAATTTCTTTTACAATGATCAATCATTATCTCTATAATTATAAATTCAAAATCATATTTTTCAATGAGATTAAATACTGCTGTGTGTATCAGTGAGATTATATATGTTATATCACACTACTAGAAACTTAAGTGAAATATTGAACGTAGATTTGCAGTACACTAAAACCAAAGCATAGCAAAATATAATATCTGGTCTTAATAATGCATAAAGATTTAAATGACATCATATAAATAAGCGTAATTTGGTGCCTCTTTTTGAGCATGAACTATAGAATATGATGTAAGATTAAAAGAAAACTTGTTTTTGTTTTTTAATTAATACTGACTATATCATCCTTTATCATATAATTCATATTAAATAATTAAAAGTCCCTGTAGAGATTTACACCCAAAACAACAAAGGGCCAAGTGACTAAAAGACAAGAAACTGTGTCATGGAGACCTCACTAGTATACACACCTTGTTCTATAGCATCAGATATATCAGGTAAATGTATAGCTGATGCAGATTTCTCCTTGTATGATACCTGGAATACTCGACAGATTGAGTTTATCATTTGTTCATCTGTAGCTTCGGAACCAATACTTGCATCCTGAAGTGACAAATATAAACAAATACCTTGAGCCTGCTGGCAGCAAAAATTCTACCCGTGTGCAGGGTTTTCATTTTTATCTGTGGCAACAGATGTACTAGCCTGGATTCCAGTTGGTCTATTTTTTATGCACTCCTGTTCGGCAAAATGACACTATAAAATACACATACGAAATAGCATGTATGTTACAAAAAAGCCCGAGTCTAAGGCTACAGACTGATGTACCAACAAAAACCGATTTGGCCAAGGGTCAGTGGGGAAATTTTAATCTACAGGCTGTAAATACAACTGATTTTATGAGCATTTCAACAGATGACATGGCTCGCCAATCTGTTAATAATGAAAACCCCTGCATGTGACAGTGCAAGTGTAGGCCAGCACATCCATGTGATAATTTCATAGTTGTCTGCCCTGTTTGTTGTTTAGTTATTTCAAAATATTGATAAATCCCTAAAAATGATAAATGGTTTTGCCCAGATTGAAAGATGGACAAGTCCATTTATGATATTGAGTGTGGTAAGGGTAAAAGTAACTGGTTCTCAGAAATTAAGAACACTACAGAACAAAAGAGAGAGCTCATGCACAACTTATAACTGATCTTTAAAATTTTTTTTACTTTAAAATTTTTGTGGTTGTATTTAAAACTACACTAACACATTAAATAAGATTATTTGACAACTTTCAAGATTTATTAGTAGTAATGCAAGGCCATAGGTGCCTATGATGTAATATTTTTATGCATTTAAAGGACAGTGTTGACCTAAAGCAGTTTGCTACTATAGTGTAGCTTCATCATATGAAAGAATTCAGAATCCTTGTCAAGATTTGCCCTAAAAATGAACAATTGTAATTTAAAATCTACATATGGCGAACCATCTATTACTAGCTTGAATGGATTTTCCAAACTCTTCCTTTTATATAAAATACTCATTAAGCCTTTACCATACTAAATATTTTTTTTATTTTTCAATCTGAACAAAAATCATTCATCATTTTAAGGAAAATGTCAAAATATGTACTTACTGAATAGTCAAACAATGCAGATTATGATAGAATGGCACAAATTTGATTATTCTTAGGGATTTCCCATGATAACATAAGGAAGCTTCCTGCAGTTTTCCCAATATTATACTTTTATTAAATTCCTCAAACTTTTGTAAACTGTTTAATCATGATATTAACAACTGTAAAAATTTAGATGCAACAAACTGATCAGGTTACAGATACATTGTACAGTATAGTTTCAGTTTTAGTTTCCTGCTATTACAATAGTATTTTTTACTTTATTATATCTGAAAGTGCCTGATATCAAATGAAAACTGAAACCTGGGCATATCTATTTCAGCAAATGCACTAAAAATATCAAAAACCATAATGCCAATTTCTTTGGTAAACTGTGTAATACATAAAATAGAAAAAAAAATCATTCTATGAAATAGACAGTCCCGAAAGGACAATTATTCTCCAAATGACATACCCTTCGTCTTTTAGCCTCTTGTCGTAATTCAAGTTCATCGACTTCCATTGTTTCAATGCCAGAATCTACATCCATCTGAGACTGGGTACTGTAATATATAAAACAACATAACTTACATCCATCTGAGACTGGGTACTGTAATATATAAAACAACATAATCTACATCCATCTGAGACTGGGTACTGTAATATATAAAACAACATAACTTATAATATACACTTTCCATGATCAGTGGGGTGTAAAAATGATTTAAAATTTCCAACAAAGACTCTTACTATAAAATTCTATAACACTGAGATGTGCATTTTTAATGTTTAATAACTATACATCTAGATCTATATAGAGAAATTAGGACATTGATGATTAATACTGATTATACAGCATGGGTATTTCTTGAAACTCTTTTGGAAATTGGTCCATGTTATATCCCAAATTTTGGAAACTGTGAAGAAGTTTATGAAACTGGAAACTGTTTTGGAAATTCGTCCAGGTAAAATTCCAAATTGAGTAGACTGCGAAAAAATTAATGAAACTGGAAATTCTTTTGGAAACTGGTCCAGATAAACAATTTATTGCATACAAATAAAAGCAATATACAGATTTCTTCCCTAAAAGAGTTTTGAAGATGCTCTCCAAACTATACTTTAATCAAATCTGTGGCATTGAGGCATTGGAAAGTATCAATATCATAGAAATGGTACGATTGTTAACTGCTGAAGATGTAACAGAAGTTTAAAGCAATTAAATTGTAAATTATTTTTTTATAACATGCTTTTCGGTGGTTTATAGAAATATATCAGTGATATAAAACTGGTAATTTCACTGTTTGAAACAGTGAAATTACCACTTTGATAATTTCACTGTTTTGAATTTAAGCCCCTTACGTTGTTTCAGTGAAATACCAGCGTGCACAGTACTGGGTACCAACTTAATGACGTGACGTCGTAAATGACGTCACGTTGTATTATTATTTGGCGCGCTTTTCATTCAGTATTAGGTTAAATGTCTTTTCAAAACGTTTCTTTGCATGAAATAAAAAGAAAATTTGTTAAGTTTAGTGTAAGATTGAAATATATTTCACCTTGTGAACACCAAAAGTTCAAATTTCACTCATGGCTGCGCCACTCGTGAAATATTCCTTTTGGTGCTCACTCGGTGAAATATATTCCGATCTTACACTGAACTAAACAAATATCCTCTATATAATAAAGTTTTTCTAATTTTCTTAACAGAATTTTACCCACAAAAAAATTCGAAAATGGATATATAATTTGCTCTTTATAAGCCATGTTTCAATTTAGGTGTCATTTTTCACTATATATCTTTAAATAAATTTTTATGTCATTTTTCACTTTTACTTAAATTAACAAGAGTGATCAGTGATCACATGTGTTGCCTCATGATAGCCAATTACATGTTACAGACAGACGGACAGACAACAGAGAAGTGATCCCTTTACTACTCTGTAGAAACAACACAATAAAATTACTGTTGCTGTAAGAAACCACAATCAGTTACTGGTAATTTGTCAGCACACTGGTCTAGCTATAAGCACCTACTTGAACTTGTCACTTGATACATCAGAAATAACAAGATACAAATGAGTCTAAATTGTTATCATAACAAAGTTTTCTAGTACGTGTAATTTACCAAACAGAATAGTCTTATTTTTTTTCAAATACAAATATACTTTGCTCAGTATAATGAATGTTTCAATTTTGGTGTCATGTTAACACTATATTTGAAAATCAAATTAATAAAGTGACTTTTGCTTTTGCTAACAAGAGACCAATTACTGGTAAAATGTTAAATATACTGATCTAGTTATTAAGCGCCCACATAAACTTGTCAAATGACATGTCAAAAATGACAATTTACAAATGAGCGTGCATACTTTTAACACTTTATAAATCATGAAATGTGTAAATAAAACACACTGACTATATGCCACACGCTATATGTAAATGATAAGGTATTTTATTTAACATACCTTTCACCCCAAAGAAACTATGTTTCTTACATTGAAAATGAAGTTATACTTGCATTTATTTTTTGGGAAAATAGTTCATGATATACATTACATAGCTGCGTATGATAGCATGTTCGACAATAGTCTAGATTATTTAAACACATTACCCACAGTATATGCATATCTACATGGTTACTGTAATTATACCAATTTGAAATTGCTTAATTGACAAGCGAGTTGTGATGATACAAAATTAAATTGCCAAATTTCTATAATGGACATGCCTTTTTTTTAAATTTGTAACCGTCCATTGTCAGCCTTATAAGTTTCAGTATCCAAAACCATTTTCAGCAGTCAACAGTATAAAGCCTACACTGGCTAGACAGGTTACCCCAATCCTCCCAACTTTATACAGAATGCAAAGTCTGCTTGCGTTTAAATAGTTATCAGTAAATTATATTTTTCAGTGAAATAATATTTCATGAATTTCTTAGCAGTTGTGCTTGTTATATCAACTCTGTATCTAAAAGCATATCAAAGGTTTTGTAATTGCTTCTTAACTTTCTACTTACTGTTTTTCTGAGCAGTCCATATCGGCTGTTTGTGATGAATCCCCTGCCACTGGCTCGACTTTCAATGAGGCTACAAGTTAAATTAATACAATGTTATGTACATGTATATTAATAATATATATTTATGTATTATTATAGGAAATAAATAATATGAGCCTTAGCCTCTTGAATTTGGAAAAAATTATCGCTACCATTGCTAATTTTTGAAGTAAAAAGCTGACCAGTGTAAGTTCAAATTTTTGAGAAAAAAATTCAATTGGGAAGAGCCCTTTTATAATTCTCTGTTATATAAGGTGGAAAATCACTACCTGCAAATACTTAAACTTTCTTTAATATTTTATACCTTGATAATCCCTTAAAGAATATCACTTATTATTAGCAGGAACCAATTGTGTCATTTCAACGTATGCAAGCAAACTGACCATTTGTGACCATCCGTATTAAGATTAAGTTAGATCAGTCTTAGCAATGCCAAGTCTTCACCAATCTTGACTGATTACAACATTTTTTTCTTTTGCATATGTTGACACATAGTCATTGAAGTCATTTTTAATATAGTGTAATAAATTTGTACACAATGATAAATTATAATGTCTTCACTTAACTTTAAAAACTTTCTAGGTTTTTATAAAAATCAAGGATGAATGATCTGCAGATGGGACAGTACAATCAGTTTTTAGGTACAAACCTGGCGGTGTCCTTTCAGATGTTTTTGGTGTAGATCCTAGAATACTTGACAGACTGGTACTGGAACTGTGGTTACTGGACATACTGGCATCTTCTGATCCTTGAGATGCTGTAGAAAGTGTCTGCATTTGATCAGGACTGTCTGTAACAGACTGGTCCTCAGATCCTGTAGGTAGACTGGGAGACTCCCCAGCATTTGATGAATTTGCTGAGGCTGGTGTACTTGGAGTACTTCTGTTGCCTTGGAGACGAGCAAGGCGTCGCCTTCTGATCTATAATTTTAGAAATTTACATAAAATTTATGAATATCTTGTACTTGCATTTAATAATTTTTATACATCATATTGAAAAATATTGTTTATGCATATGGAGCCTTTTAAAGTTATATTGCCTTTTCAAAATTTAAAACACAGCTTTGCCTTTAAAAATTTTAGTGATTGAAGTACAAACAGTACTTAAAAAACCATAATAGCAATATTTCAGTTAAAGTAAATTTAATATTATAAGTAAACTTTAAAGCAGTGTCTATTCTAGGAGGGGCGATGGGGGGGATTCACCCATATTTTTGAGAATTCACGCCTATTTTTTGAGAGGAAGGGGGAAAATTTTACATAGAGAAAGAAGGAAAAAGATCAACAAATCTAATAAATTCTCACTTTTCGATAAAAATCCCCCCCTGTTTTTTGAATCCTAGAATAGACACTGTTTAAAGTAGATGTGTGATGTGTTGGGTGACCTTGTACATCAATGGAGTTACAGTCAATATACAGAAGATCTGATCAGCACCAATTAAGTGACTGTAGCATCAGATGTCTGTCTAAAGTCAGATTTGACACAACATGAAAATATCTTGTTTTTCTTTGTGAAAGACTCTATCTGATCAATTTTAGTCTGACTATGATTATAGCCGGACCCAGTGATTTTTCTCACTTAATTGGAAAGAGGCCTTATCCTCATGATTTTGGGAAACTTATCGCTAAAATTTTTGATTTGGGAAGTAAAAAAGCTGGTTTAAGTTAAGATTTTTGGGAAAACTGCATGATTTTAAAGAAAATTTCAATTGGGAAGAGGCCTTTTTTCGGAGTCTGTTATATAAGTAGGAAAATCACTGGGACCAGACACCAAATGCGCATTATATTTATGGTCGGACAAGGGTTTTATCAGTCATGGCCCTAAAGGGTTCTGACAATTTTTTTATTACAACTTGTAAGAAAGAAAACAAAGGTTTTGCATACATGTGAACTCTCCCACTTTTAGTGGAAACTCCCTTTTTCCACAGCCATATTTTCAAAGATTTTTCTTGAAATAAGGGAAATTTTCACAAATTAAAAAATCTACCTATTTTTAAATTATGTCAGAACTTCCTTCTTTGTTTATTGCAAATTCTAAAAGGCTCTTTTTGAAGAAAAATCTCCCACTTGATCATCAAAAAAAGTTCACATGTATGTTTTTTTTTGCCTTTGAATTTTTGGTTCACCTGTGCTTGCATTATAAGAGATATTTTTTCACATATCCACAACTAGTCCTACTTATTCTACTACAAGTTGAGATTGTGTTTGTATTTTGGGCAATATCTCCCCAGAATAAAATATCTCAGAATCTATCTTTGGCACATCAACATATTTTTTACTTATCTACACTCCACAGTATGAAGTTGTTCCGTAAAGAGAATACTAAGAGGATTACCTTTCATTTAAGTGATATGTATTTGGCACAATAATAATATGAAATTAGGCAAAGCCTATGAACGGGGAAGTCGTTAAAAAGTCCTTTCATTTTTTCCGTTTTAAAGGTGTCATTCGGTATTTTATACACCACTTCCGTTTTCACTCGGAACACTCGACGTTTATTATTAATTATCCGAAAAGTTGAGATTTGTACCGTTATCGGAATACACCGTCTTTTATCATTGAGTTACATTGTAAATGGCGGCGCCTAACTAGAACTGACACTGAAAATTTTATTGATAGGTATAGAATTCTATATATTTTTTAAATTGTTTTTTATTTGATTTTCTTTTAAATATACACGTGTAGTCTATAGCCGGGCAAGCCAAAACCCGGAGCCGCTTCGATAAATGTCCGATAAATTTTGATCAGGTCCAACAATTTTTTATTCCGGATCGGTCCGACTGTCCGGCTTTTATCCAAGCCACATGTATACAAAATGGCGTCGCTAAAGGTGCCAAACCTGGGAAAAACGAAAATCTACGTCAGAAGAGCGCGTAGAACAGCAATAAAAGGATGAAAAGAATAGACCTGAGACAAAATTTAATGAAAAATGGAAGCAGAACCATGAATCATTGGTGTATGACAGGGAGGAGATGAAAATGCGCTGTACGGATTGTGCCGATTTTTACGGCAAAAAAATAAAAAAACAAAAAGTGTCTTAGAAATACAAACACAAGTTTTTCATTGATTTTGATCAATTTTATTTGGTCCGACAGATTTTGTTTCGGTCCGACAGATTTTCATGGTTTGTCAGACCGAATGTCTGACAGTTTTTTTCAACTTTCGGGAAGTCTGGCTTTGACTTCCCTGTATAAAGGATGATTATTTCATATGATTAAAAATGCATGAAAATGAATGAAAATTGTTTATTTCACCTGAAAGATCATAGTGTCTTTAACAATCCTTAACAAATTATACTAATTATCTTAACCACATTTCCTGGAAATACTTATAGCATTTTAAATGTTATAAAATACACACTGAATTGTGAACATCTTAAAAACTACACAACAGCTGATTTTACTACTTCTGTAAAAGGATTTTTTTTCTCACCTCATCAGGAGTCAACTCACTCATTTCTTTAATTTATTTTCTAGCTAACTCTGTATTTTACAGTTTACTGGTATATATTTTAAAATTATCGCATATTAATTATTTTCTATGAGTTTCGGATAAGGTTCTATTTGATCTTTTCTGGAACAAAAACACAGACAAACAAAAAAGTTGAACGTCTGGTTCACCCGGAAGTGTTTATGGGACATGCGGATGCCTTCTGTTGTTTGGTCCCGCTGTAGTTGTCGCCCTTACATTTGGAGAAAGAAAAACAATCAACATTGTCAAATATTTGCCAAATAAATGCAATTATCATTGAAAAGTCGAGCTTGCTGATAAAAATAGTAGTAGAAAAAGTATTAATAGATGCAGATACATTAATAGAAAGGTTGACTATTTCCCGTAAGTCAACGGATTGCCAGAAAAACGGTAGCCACGTCATGCTCGTTTTTAGTGTAAGTATTTTCGGGTAGGACTTGTTATTGTTTATTTTCGGACGTTCTAATATAATGTTGTTCCTTTTTTCATAAATCAATATTAAGTTAATTGCTATATAGTTTTGTTTCTTTATTTTCAACTAAATGTACATACTATTTCATTTTTCAACAGCTACACATACATAGTGCTACAATTTTGTAGTCCAATATCCATGGTCAACTTCATGATAAATGGATAAATAACTACTCATCTTGAGTAATTATTGCATATTTTTACAGTGTTTGAGAAAAAAAAGGCTTCCGGTTTTTATGCAATCAGTTGCTTTTGTCATAAATAACATTTAAGTTGTGATTTTACAGGTAAATTTAAATCGACTCGAGAAGCATTTTGTGCTTTAGGAAATTAGCCAGTTAGGGAAAGACTGAGCATTTTCCGATAAGTGTTAAACTTGAAAAAAGAAAATGTGATGTCTTTCAATAAAGGACTAATAATTTTGGTGTTGCTTTATGATATTTTCACTTTTATGAAAAAAAGTACACCAATACTAATTACTATTTAGAAACATACTGCACAAGGGGAAAGATTTTTCTCTCTGTAAGATTTAACTCTTAGATCAATGTATTGATGCCTAAATTCAAAGTTTGTTTATTGACCATAATATTAGAAACAAATTTGCTTTAAGTTTAACTTTAAGTAAGATAATTGATCTGTCACATCAAAGTAGATGAGACAATCACAATGTCAATGGTAGACTGTTGCCAGTTGTTTATTATAATTGTTTTTTTCTGTAAAGATTTTTTTGGTTGAATGTGTGTTCAATTGAACGGATGTATGATAAAAGAATATTAATTCTTTTGTGTATTTATTATGTTTTGTCAGAGTTATTGCACTTGACTTAGTAAAAAATTGCAATTTCCAATTTGTGTTATGCGTACAAATGTAGCTTAAAAAGTATTTAACCTAGAGTCATGAAACTTTACAGGAATGTTGGTCAGCATGTGTAGTTGTGCACCTGGGGATTCGCTTGTGGATTTATCCAGTATATCTAGAGTTAACCCTTTACCTCATATATACGCGAAACAACGCACTTTCGACCCCCCCCCCCTTTTTAGGCCTGAAATAGTGAAAAAATGTCCTATTTGGGCCCCAAACACATGTTTTCGTTTGAGAAATGTTGCTAAAAAAAGTGAGCACTTTTTCGGCGCCGCCCCCATCCAAAAGATACATCAGGGGGTTGCCAGAAGGGGGATGTGCCCCCTTCTGTTTGGGGGGTTTGAAGGGGGGCGGAGTCCCCCTCATCGCCAAGAAAATTTTGGACTTGTGAGAGGCTAAAAATGACCCCAGGTCGATCATAAGGTAACGTGTAACCAACGCTGAAAAGCCTTTGACTCTATCTCAATCCCTTGAGAAGTTGCAGCACTTTGAAATAAATTTTGATGGAAAAAATCAAGGCAAAATAGTGATTTTTGGCAATTTTGAGATGTCCCCTCGTTGCCATGGTAACAGAAAATTTAAGACTGAGCATGTCGTTACAAAGGCAATGGTCCAGTCAACATTTGTGCCAAGTTTGATTAGTATTGAAGCATTTTTCATAGTTTCATAGCAGTTTGAACTTGTAAGAGGAGGCTTTTCAGTGAAAATGGCCATTTTTCACAATATGCTCATGGGGGAAAGGGTTAAAATCACTGTGCCCTTTACTTAGTATAAATTTGCAATTTTCAACTTGTTCATGCATAGCACAAAAGTATTTGACCTGTAGGTCTGAAGGTTTGCAAGAATGGTCAGCATGTTAACTTTTGCACCTTGGGGTTTGCTTGTGGATTTATTCAGTTTTTGTAAAGCCATTTACTTAGGAAAAGATTTTTAGTTTTCAACTTGTGTCACATGTAGCCCAAAAAATAAGATTCATAAGATTGACAAAACAGTGGAGTGTGGGGGCACCCGTGTCCAATGGACACATTTTTAGTTTTTTTTTGGCATGCACATGATCCAAATGAAGTTGCTTGAAAAGGCCTGAAATGATACCAGTCCCATAATACCTTTTTAAAATGTCAGTCAAGTTGCATAATTAGATCGTCAAGCTGATTTGAGGTGAGTACTAGCATATTGTCTGGTGAAACACCTTTACTCAAGTCAGGCACTAGATCAGTACCAAGTTATTATAAATTCTAGTAATCAACCAGACAATTGTCAATGGAGAATACATTTTTTTTGGTAAGAACAACCTTTTGCAGGGATTTTTTTGGCTTATTTCATGGCAGATATTCGGTCATATTCCCAATTGAAAATAGTGTATTATTTTCCCAATCCACAGGAAAAAATTCCCAATTGAAAGTTACAAAATAAAAGTATTGAATAACAAATTCTAAAATCTTTGAAAATAAGGACTTCTTCACTGTTATGGTGCTAAAATGTTTGAAGATGCCATCCTAGACAGTGATTCTTTACATTCATTTAATTACTGCAAAATTTAAGTCATGTTTTTTTCCAGTTTTTAACAAAACATCGCTGAAATTCCCAATTCCATGGGTATGGGTCATGTTCCCAAAATTCTGGAAAAATACCCTGTTTTGTATGGCTGATACCTTATGTTCAAGTAAAAGATAATTGTTACCCTTTGGTATAATAATTATTGTGTGGAACTCATTTCTGTTGGAAAGTAAGTCATTTGGACTCTTTAACAACAAAAAATTCAAGGGGAAACATCAATTGTATTCAGTATGATGATAAGTAATTGAATATACTTTTGTTTGTGTTTAATGAAATTAAAATTTATGAAGAACTTAATTCTTGAGATGTAACATTTTTAGCTCGACTATTCGAAGAATATGAGAGCTATTGTAGTCGCCCCGGCGTCGGCGTCTGCGTTGGTTAAAGTTTTTTGTAAAGTCAAATATCTCAATTATTACTTGAGATATTCAATTGAAACTTACAATACTTATTTATAGTAACAAGGTACATCAGATTGACAAGTTTGATAACTCTGCCTACAATATTGACAGAATTATGCCCCTTTTTAACTTAGAAATTTTGGTTAAAGTTTTTTGTAAAGTCAAATATCTCAATTATTGCTTGAGATATTCAATTGAAACTTACAATACTTATTTATAGAAACAATGTACATCAGATTGACAAGTTGGATAACTCTGCCTACCATATTGACAGAATTATGCCCCCTTTGGAACTTAGAAATTTTGGTTAAAGTTTTTTTGTAAAGTCAAATATCTCAATTATTGCTTGAGATATTCAATTGAAATTTAAAATACTTATTTATAGTAACAATGTACATCAGTTTGCAAAATTGCATAACTCTGTCTGCAATATTTGCAGAATTATTTTCCCCTTATGAAACTTAAAAATTTTGGTTAAAGGTTAACTGTCTTCAAAGATATTTACTTGAAACTTTACACATGCACTTAGGGTCATAATCGGAGGGTCATAATTGTATGTCACTGACCAAGTTCCATAACTCTATCTTGCATTAAGGCTGATTCATATCCCCTTTTCTACTTAGTCTCTTGGTTAATGTTTACATGCAAGTTTTACATATCTCAATAACTATTAAAGATATTTATCTAAAACTTCACATATGCATTTAGGGTCATAATTGTAGGTCACTGACAAAGATCCATAATTCAATCTTGCATTTAGGCTGATTTTTCTCCCCTTTTTCAACTTAGAAATTCATGGTAAAGTTTTGCTTGTAAGCTGCTATCTCAATAACTACTGAAGGGTTTGTGCCTTTTTTGGGACAATTTTATGCATTCATAATAATAAAGCAGTGATTTACCTGATAAAACATCTTAATAACAAGGCTTTGTACCTTTTCTGTCAAATTTATGTATTCATAGGTAATTAGTATTATTATACTCAATAAAAAAAACCTTGTGACATTACCTTCCGAATAGTCAAGCCAATTCTGTATAATTAGACTCTCTGTAAGGCCTATAACATGAATTTATAAAAAAAATTAGCCCTTTTGTGAACTTAAAAAATTTAACAATATCAAGGCTCTTTTACTATCAAGCACTTAGAATAGTCGAGCATGCTGTCCTACAGACAGCTCTTGTTATCTAACTTATTTAGACTTTGATTCATGAATAATTTTGATTAAATTCATTTGAGCATTTTATAACAGTGACATTTGAGTGAAATAGCAGGAAATGGTTATTTTAACTTCAAATGTAAGACTTTTTATGAAATGAATCAGGAAAATATCAAGAAGGACAAGTCAACATAAATTTGCTTTAGAAATATTTAACATACTTATCTCCCCTTGATTAAGCTTCAGTTAACTTTCAATAAGAAATTGATTATAATAAGAAAAAGAAGAGAATTCATGACTGCATACTATTAGCATGAATTGTGAAGTGATTAAATTTTTCACTGTTGTCTGCATGATGAACAGTTACTTTTGATGAGCACACCACTTCTAAAAAGGGAGATGCATGGTAATAGTGTGTGGTCATCCATATAAACCTGCTTACTGTTAAAAATGCTGTTAGATATTACAAATAAAAGACATCCCTTACACCACTTGTATATAAGTTGTATTCATAATGCACATGTCAGTATGAATATTCTGAATAATTTATTATAGATCATGGTGTGATTGACATTGTCATTGATTAGCCCATATTCTAATAAAAAAACCACACCTTGTGCCAGCTGGAGCGATTGCCTTTAAAGGTTGAAGTATCAGAATTGCAGATACCTTCATATGAGGTGCTTAAATGGGTTGGAATGACTGGAGTCTATGCATCTCTTAGCTCCAGCAGTTGAGGTGTTTTGACCCCCTGGTGCTTTAAGTTTGTAACACCTGAGTTACATGTAAGCCTAAATCATCTTTCCTGTTCTGGCGCAATATGACCTAAATTGTGTAAGTGTGCCCGCGTAAAACCAAATAGATAAATAGATAGACATTTAATTTTGTTTTCAATGCTAGAAAATGTTCTCATCCTCTTAACTTATTTATTTTCATTGCTAGAAATGCCTCAAAGAAAAGTTTGCAGCTTGA